CACCGGCAGTGTAGTTTCACAGAATCATCTTGCTCTTAGCTGTTCATCCGCTATGTTGAAGTTTCCTATCTTAGACTTTATTTCATCTGAGTATACTTTAGTAGTGTAGTTGAACAGAATCATCAAATTGTTAGTTATTCATCCATTGTGTTTAGCTTTTTTCTATGAGATCTGATCCAAGTTGAATACACGTAACTAGTGTATTTGAACAGAATAGTATCAATCTTAGCAATTCATCTGCTGTATTTACGTCATTTATGTTAGATCTTATTCAACCTGAATATAACGAAGCAGTGTATTTGAACAGAACCGTGCTCTTCTTACCTATCCATCCGTGATGTTTAGGTGTTTCATATTAGACTTGATGCAAGTTGAATGTGCCGCAGCGGTCTAGTTGAATAGAATCGTCAACCTATTAGCTATTCATCCATTGTGTTTAAGTCTTTTATATTAGGACTGATCCCAGTTGAATATGTGCAAGCAGTGTAATTAAACAAAATGGTATTGTTAGATATTCAGTCATTGCGTTTAAGCGTTATATGTTCGACTTGATCTAGGTTGAACAAACTTTAGTAGTGTAGTTGAACAAAATCGTCCTGTTGTTAGCTATTCATCCGCTGTGTTAAAGTCTTTTATATTCGATCTGATTCAAGTTGAATATGCGCAAGCAGTATAGTTGAGCAGATTCGTGCTGGTCTTAGCTTTTCGTCCGTTATGTTTCAGTTTTTTATGATAGATCTGATCTTATTTGAATATGCGGAATGAATATAGTTAAACAGAAGCGTTCTGTTATTCGCTATTTATCCGTTGTGTTTAAGTCTTTTATATTAGATCTGATCCAAGGTAATCGTATGCCAGCAGTATTGTTGAATAGAAACGTGTTGGTCGTAGCGATTCATCCGTTATGTTTAGATCTTTTTTGTCAGATCTGATCTAAGTTGGATATAGCTAAGTGGTGTAGTTGAACAGATTCGTCCTGTTGGTAGCTATTCATCTGTTGTGTTTAGCTCTTTTATGTTAAATCTGATCCAAGTTGAATATGCGCAATCAATAGGGTTGAACAGAATCGTGGTAATGTGAGCTGTTCATCCCTTATGTTTACAACTTTTATGCTAGACTCGATTCAGTTCTGAATATACTTGAGCAGTGTAGTTGAATAGAATCGTCAAGTTATTAGCTATACATCGATGATGTTTGTGCATTTTATGTTAGGTCTGATTCAAGTTGAATATACGGAAGCAGTATAGTCGAATGGGATTGTGCTAATGCTAGTTATTCATCCATTGTGTTTAGGTCTTTTATGTTAGACCTAATTCAACCTAAGTATACCTTAGCAGTATAGCTGAACAGAATCGTCAACTTATTGGCTATTCATTCATCATATTTGAGCCTTTTATGTTAGATCTGATCTGAGTTAAATATGCGTCAGCACTGTATTTGAACAGAATCGTCAAAATGTTAACAATTCATCTGCTGTATTTAGGTCTTTTATGTAAAACCGGAGGCAAGTTGAATGTGCGCAACCAATTTAGTTGAATAAAATCGTACTAATGACAGCTGTTCAACCGTTGTGTTGAGGTCTTTTATGTAAAACCTAGTACAAGTTCGATATATGTAATCAGGGTAGTTGAACAGAACGATAATGCTGTTAGCAATTCGTCTGCTTTGTTTAGACCTTTTATGCTAGACCTGATCCAAGTTGAATGTGCGCAAACGGTGTAGGTGAATAGAGTCGTGCAGGTGGTATCTATTCATCCGTTTCGTGTAGGCTTTTGATGTTAGACCTGATCCAAGTTGAGTGTGCGAAAGGAGTATATTTGAACAGCGTTGTGCTGATGTTAGTTATTCATCTGCTTTATTTCGGTCTTTGATGTTGAACCTGATCTCAGCTGAATATGCAGAAGCAGTATAGTTAAACAAAATCGTAATGGTGTTAACAATTCATCTGCTGTATTTAGGTCTTTTATGTAAAACCGGAGGCAAGGTAAATATGCGCAAGCACTGTAGTTGAACAGAATCGTGGTGGTGTTAGCTGTTCATCCATTGTGTTGAGGGTTTTTATGTTATCTGATTAAGGTTTTGTTTGGAAGTCACAAGTATATTTGAGACAATGTTTTGTTGCATAAATCAGTTATCGTAGAGTTTTATAGATGACACAATGCACTCAAGTTTTCTATCACAACAAGTAGGATATTTGAATGGAACTATACTAGATTTTTATCATTTTCTACAGGGTGTTGTTGTATTAATAAATTTACCTACTAACTTGCATTCGAGGGTAGTATGTGAATACAACATTCTTTTGAAATATTCATCTATTGCACTTCATAAATACATTAGATAGTGTACATTGGTATAATATAAGGAATACAGTGTTTGAATAGAGTCATACTTCTAACCAGTCTCTTCTTGTGTAATCCCATTTAACTAATCAACGTAAAATCTTTGGTTGGATTTTTGTAAAATATTTGAATAGAAAATTCCTGTGAAATATCCATCTATGCCATTTTGGAAATACAGTAGATAGTATACATTGGTATAGTGTAAGGAATACAGTGTCTGAATAGACTCATAATTCTAACCAATCTCTTCTTGCGTAATCCCATTTGTCTAATCAACGTAAAGCCTTTGCTTGTTTTTCATAAAATATTTGAATGGAGTATTGGTAAGAAATGTTCATTGACTGAATGTCTGATAATCTTTTCGAGAATTCAATATTCTTCTTTTTCATTGAGAAAAATATGTGAACAGAATCGTAAATTGAATCATTCTGTTGACATGTAGTTATTAATCACGAGCCTATCTGTATATTTTGCTAGAATGTACGTAATATTCGAAAAAAATTCGGTTGGGGTGATTCACTTGACATATGGCGTGTGTGACATCGGCATCAAGTTACTGGTTCTAACTGATTGTCATAAAATATTCGAAGAGAGGTTTTGTTAGACTTATTTAGATACTTGGTGCTCATTAACATTGTAATCGAATTTAGGTTTTACCTGTAATCTAAACGTATACTTGAATAATGTCATTCTATAATTGATCTTCCTATTGTATATTTGTCGCTGTTCTTATTAAATCTACATCGTTGTTTCTAACTCAGTAAAATATATGACTAGTTTCTTGATATGATCTATCCATCTACCTTATTTATCTATCACTCGTTTTGAGTTTCCAAATCTCTACTTTACTTGACTGAAATATTCGAATTATAACTTGATGTAAATCATTCATTGTATGTGTGTTTAATGCACATAGTACCATATTCGGATAGACTGTATAATGTGAGCAATAAACTTTAATATGATATAGCGAATGTTTATTTTATTCATATTTCGGGTCATTTGCAATTCTATGATTGATTTAATACATGTGGCAGTTGGGTGAGCAACATAGGAGAGTCTGCGTATTGTTTGCACTGTTCATCTGTGATGTTGTCATGACAAAGAAGGTGAGTTGCAAATCTTCACTTCAATTTAACTCAAATATTTGCATATAAATTTTCTATTGGTCATTCAATGGTCATATATTGTTCGACTTTCTGATCAAACATACCAGTCTATTTTCAACATCCATAAAATAGGTTAATAATTTCCTAATATAAATATTTCATTTGTCGTGCGTTCATCAATACTGAAATTGAATTTATTCTCTGTTCAAATTGGGTAAAGTATTTCGGATGTTTTTATATAAACTACTCATTTTCCACATGTTTCGAGATTAATTGAAAGTCTTTCCTCGCTACTTCCAGTTAGTTTAAACTATTTGAATATGACTTTAATATATCAGTTTCATCAGTTCTACCATCATCAAAAAGTATAAAATTTCAGAAACTTTGGTTAAACATAGCAGATTAGTTGAATAGACTCGTTGTTCAGACTGTACAGTCGACACACATCGATCATATATTGAATCAAATCTATATATTTATTTTAATTGTCATAGAAAATTTTAAGAATCTCTTGCTATAAGTTATTCTCTTTCGTCGCGACGATACATCAATGAATAAAATTAATTTCTGTTCTCAACTCAGCAAAATATTTTAAAAATCACTTTTTATGAACTATTCTCTTTAGTCGCGACAATGTATCCTTGTATCAACATTGTCTCTATTCTCAATTCACCAAAATATTTTAAGAATCTCTTAATATAACCTATTCTCTTTCGTCGTGACAATGTATCATTGAACCAATGTTGTCTCTATTCTATATTCACCAAAATATTTTAAAAATCTCTTCTTATGATCTATTCTTTTTATTCGCGACAATATATTATTGAATGTACGTTGTCTCTATTCTCGATTCACCAAAATATTTTAAAAATCCCTTGATATGAAATATTCTCTTTCGTCGCGACGATGTATCATTGTATCAACATTGTCTCTATTTTCAATTCACCAAAATATTTTAACAATCTCTTGCTATTAATTATTCTCTTTCGTCGTGGCGATGTATCATTGTATTAACATTGTCTCTCTTCTCAATTCACCAAAATATTTTAAAAATCTGATGGTATAAACTGTTCTCTTTCTTCGCGACGATATATCAATGAATAAAATTAGTTTCTGTTCTCAACTCAGTTAAATATTTTAAAAATCTCTTGTTATGAACTATTCTTTTTAGATGCGACAATGTATCATTGAATCAGCATTATCTCTATTCTCAATTCACCAAAATATTTTAAAAATCTGTTTATAAAAACTATTCTCTTTCGTCGTGATAATGTATCATTGAATCAACCTTGTCTCTATTCTAAATTCACGAAAATATTTTAAAAATCTCTTTCTCCAAACTATTCGCAATGTATGCGTCTGTTGATCGTTGGGCTGAGGGCAGTCGTTGTTTCAAATTCGAGATAATTATGAAGAAAATAACTCCACCATGGGAATCATAATCCAATGATTTCTGTGCCGGTCGCAAGTCCGGAAAAAGGAGGAGCGTTAAACGGAAGGGGTGCAGATACCGCCGTTTGTAAAAGAAAAAAGACGATAGAAACCAACCATGAACGATCAACGTCAAAAACTATACCGGCTCGGACGTCGCCCGGGTGAACAAGGTCCGCGTCCTCTGTCGTGGAACCAGGACAGAGTCGAAAAATTGGCTACTGGAACAACCAATCCAACCAATCGAAAAATCAAGCATTCAACAACAACAACAGCAAGTCACAAAACAACAGCACCAACATCATCAATACCAACAAAAAGAAACAAGATTCAAGCACAAACACCAATGACAACAGCGAATCAATATACATCAAACAAGTTAAAAATAATGAAACATATGTTTACCGTAGGGACTTGGAATGTCCGAACATTATGGGCAGCAGGCAAGTTGGAATTATTAAGAAATGAAATGAAACGCTACAAATATGATATTATTGGCATTTCAGAGGTGCGGTGGACAGGACAAGGTGAAACATCAAACGGTGATTTTATTTGGTGTGGGGAAAACAATACACATACTAAAGGTGTGGGGATGTTACTGAGCGTAAAAGCTCGAAAAGCTCTCTTGAGCTACAATCCAATTAATTCAAGATTAATTACTGCACGTTTTACAGCAACACCATTCAACTTAACAATAATCAATGTTTATGCACCAACATCGGAAGCGTCAATGGAAGACATGGAAACATTCTACGACAACCTGGAGGAAGCGGTGGCGAATACTCCGAAAAAAGATATACTTATCATTACTGGTGATTGGAATGCAAAGGTGGGCGATAACAATACAGGATGGGAACCTGTCATGGGTAAATATGGTTATGGAACAAGAAATGAACGTGGCGAACAATTATTGGAATTCGCAACATCGCACAATCTATTTATTTGCAACACAGCATTTCAACAAAAACCAAATCGCAAATGGACATGGGAATCACCAGATGGCATACACAAGAACATGATTGACCTCATTCTTATACAAAATCGGTGGAAATCATCCGTAATCAACTGCAGAACTTTCCAAGGAGCTGATATCAGCTCGGATCATTCTTTGGTTTTATGTAATATCAAACTAAAATTAAAAAATCTAACAAACAAACCAAAGCAGAGTTTACGACTCGATACCAACCAACTCAAAAATCAAGCAACAAGAAACAATTTTCAAACACAACTGGAACAACAACTCAACAGCCTCGATACCAACTGCAATATAGATGAACACGCTTCACAAATCGAACAAGCAATCGAACAAGCAATAACAGCAAGTACAACTACACAAACCATACCAAAGAAACCGTGGATCTCTCAACAAACATTGATCTTAGCGGATCACAAACGCAAAGCAAAACAAACTAAAAACATTTCAACGGCGAACAATCAAATATACAAGAATCTTTGCAGTCAAGTGAAGAAATCGGCAAGAATGGACAAAAACAACTGGATTCAAGATCAATGTGAAACAATTCAAAGGGCAATGGCAGTGGGCAACAGCAGACAAGCTTACCAATTGATAAAGCTACTGAAAAAGAAGTTTTCAACAAAATTAACTTTTATCAAAAACAAAGATGGCACAATATCACAATCAAAATCAGAGGTGTTACAGAATTGGACGCAATATTGTGGTGAACTGTATCAAGACAAAGGTGGTAATGGTGCAAACAAAATGGTGGAAGCGTTAAACAAGATAAGTCCTTCAATCAACAATACATCAAATGGCATTCTATACAGTGAGGTGAACGACGCTATCAACAAATTAAAGAAAAACAAAAGTCCTGGTGTCGATGGAATCACTGCGGAAATGCTTCAGGCGGGAGGAGAAAAGTTGAGACACAAAATTTACGAACTGTGTAACAGAGCATGGGATGAGGAAACAATTCCTGAACAGTGGGGACGGTCCATTTTGATACCGATCCCCAAAAAAGGGGACCTCAGCCAATGTTCAAATTATAGAACTATTTCTCTCATTAATCACACAGGAAAGGTTCTACTCATGGTGCTACTGAACAGACTAAAACACCACCTGGATCCATACATATCAGAGGAACAGGCGGGGTTCAGAAAGGACCGGAGCACAGTTCAACAAATTTTGATTCTCAGACTCCTAGCTGAAAAAGCAAAACGTAGTGGAAGGAAAATCTATAATTGTTTCATAGATTTCCAAAAGGCCTTCGATACAATCCAACACAAAATTATATGGGTGGTGCTCAAATCGTACGGGGTGGACAACAAGGTGCTGGTATTGCTTCAACAAATATATGGAAAGTCCCGTTCAGCAGTCCGAATAGGAATGGACCTTGGTGAATGGTTTCAGTCAAGTATTGGAACCAGACAAGGGGACCCCTTGTCGCCACTTTTGTTCATTACGTATTTGGAAAGAATAATGGATCAAATAACTTCAAATAATTTTGGAATTAATATCGGTGGAACCATCATCAACAACCTACGATTTGCGGACGACATCGACCTTCTCAACAATAATCACTCCTTACTTCAAGAACATATCGAACAACTCACAAGATTGGCAGAGGAAGCTGGGCTTATGGTAAATATCAAGAAAACAAAAACTATGGTGTTTGGTGACAAAAACATAGATCAACAAATGGAAATCAATGGTGAACATATCGAAAATGTGGAGGAGTTTGAATATTTGGGGAGCATGATTACATGGGATAACAATTGCTCGAAAGAAATAAGAAGACGAATTGGCAAAGCAATGGGTGCAATGGCAAGTCTGAAGCATATGTGGAACACAAAGAAGCTGAAAGTTGAAAGTAAAATAAAACTTTTAACTACTTGTGTCTTCAGTGTATTACTATATGCTTCAGAAACATGGACACTAAAGGAGGTGGACAAACAAAAGTTATTAGCATTTGAAATGAGGTGTTATCGAAGAATACTCAAGATCCATTGGAAAGACATGGTGCGAAACGTCGACATACGAAAACAACTCGGTGCTGGTGAAACAATAATTGATGTGATCAAAAAACGTAAACTAAGACTTTTTGGACACATCTGCAGGATGGACAACAGCAGACTCCTGAAACACATAGTATTCTCTAGAATGGATGGAAAGTCCAGAAGAGGACGACCATGCAGAGAATGGCTAGACGATATAACAGATTGGTGCGGATACAGCCTTCAGGACTTGGTTCACCTTGCGCAGAGCAGGTACCAATGGAAAAGCCTGATCCAAACCGTGGTTGGCCCCAACGGGCGATAAGCCTATGGGATATCAAGATCAAGATCAAGATCAAGATGAAGAAAATGTTTGTTTGAACTATTAGCTGACCACGACTCTTGCATTCATGTATTGAACTTCAATGGTTTGTTCGAAATTGCAGAAAGTATTGGGATAGTGATTTAGTATAAGAGATTCATGTAAGGTGTTTGCATTGATGAGTCTTGGGAGTTCATATATTAGTTCTTTATGAAGAGAAATATATATGAATGAAGTTTTTCAAACAGGTATGTTGCATGCATATAATGCATTGATTAATTACACTAATATAATATATTGTTGTCTTTTTAGAAAATAAAGAGCAATTAATCAACTGCGATCAATCAAGGTCGATAAAAACTATAATTGACAATAAATTTTTTTCATTTTTTTTTACTATCTTACCTTTTCATTTTTTTAATCTAGCATGTGTTTTTTTCATTTTTTCATATAATAAACTTCAGAACTTAAACATATGACTGTGTCAATTTTTTTATAAGTATTATTCTATATTCGGGGAGTCCATATGGAAAGACGTTGTCGCTAGTTGGAAGCTCTATGATCAAGCAAATCACTATATCTTAATATCTTCATATTATCAAAATTTATATATACTATTTTAGTTTTTATATTCTTGTAAAATATTTTAATTGACTTTCATTCTCTGAAAATGCATTCAAAATTACTAATTACGATACAATAGATAGATTTTTTGCATATTGCTCCAAAAAGACTAGTTTAAATAAAATACTACAATTAATTGAGATTGTTTTATTTAATAAAATGCAATAGATAATTCTTTAAATCTATGTCCAGTTTGAAATGAATTTAAGATGCTATTAAAAAAATTGCTTTTAAAATGTTGTTATAAAACCAAGGTATGATTTTATCGATTGGTAATGTGGTATACGCTTGAATAATTTCTACACAATCGAACTAATCGAACACGTGTCACATTTATTACTTGTTCATTATATTGTCTTATTCTTTTCGTTCTCTCATACTTTTTTCTTCATCCTTTGTACGTCCTTCGTTCTATCGTTTTTATAATATCGCATGTGCTTTCAATGTATAAAATAATTACACAATGCAACTGAAATATTGAGTCATTTATTTTTTCTTTCTATGATATGATGAATCAATGACCAATAATAATAAGTATCACGTTTTTGTTGAGTAAAAACATTATTTTCATATTTACAAGATATATCAAGAACAATTTTATTAGTCTTATTTTCTTATGGATTATAAAAATTTAATTTAAATTTAAGTTAAAACTATAGTAAAACGGTACTTACCCATCTGACAGAAATGTACTATAAGACGAAAATATATTTGAGCGACATTAAGCACTCCCGTACTGTTTAATTCTAAAATAACTATATATACACAATGATAAAAAGAGCTTGATTACAATTAAAAATAATAATAAAAAACGTGCATTCGATTTCTGTTATTGTTATTGTGGTTTCTGTTTGTTATATAAGCGTTAATGGTCAAGATATACGAAGTAAGTCATCATTGAATAAAACCATATTTTTTTAAATTATATATTCGTTTATTAGATTTTTGTGCTGCTAATTCAAATCTATGCTACAATGGAGGAACATGTGTAATAACATCAAACAATGATTTCAGATGTCTATGTCGTTCATTATTTTGATGAATAGAAAAAGTGCAAAGAATTCATTTCAAAAAATAAATAATATCTGTCCAATTAATTCATGCTACAATGGAGGGACATGTTCAATAGTAGTAGGTAGTACCTTCAAATGTGCTTGTCCTCCAAATTTTAAAGCAATATTTTGTGAAGCAGTTAACAATATAATTTTGACATTTTTTTATTGTTAAAAAATTATTTTACATTATTTGAAAGATATGAATCAATGTGCCTTTGAAATTCGTGAGAATGGTGGAAGTTGTGTACCAAATTCAAGCAAGGGTGTCGAATGTATATGTACTGCAGAATGGACTGGTTCGTTGTGTGACTATCCTACCGTTAACTTCTAACCTATGAATTGTTGTAATATATTATATAAATTTTTTTGAGGCTACAAGTTTCACATTTGATAACAAGGACTAATTGTATTTATTTTGAAATTACACGTAAAGCTCTTTGTAGATTATAGAAAATTTGTTAAGCACAATGAAATAGCTCAATTTTTACTTACGAATATCTGGATATATGAAACCATGTAACTCAAAATAATCCCTTCGAAAGTAGAAAAGTGATAGTTTTACAAAAATTTTAAATGTTATGGAACATATATGAAATTTACGGGAAAAAAGATCTAATAAAATATTGTTTTCCAGATAATATTAGAAAAATACTATCTAATTTTGATTGACTTTCTCATGAACTGATATATATTAATATTCAGTCGATTAATTATTAAAAAATAAAATAACAGAAACAAAATAAAAATAAAAATAAATCACCGGATAATTATATTCTTTAGATATTTTCAGTTGTCACACAATAATAATGCCATCCACCACTCCATTCTACTTTTTTACATCTCATATGACGAAATAATGGACTCATACGATGTAATTGTTTTATATCTTTAATATACGTTTGTTTAAATGAACAATAAAATCGTTGTAACCATGGTACACGTGTACTAAGTTCTAAAGCAAGTTTTTCAAAATCATATAAAGTTAAACTATCACATGCTATATAAAGATAGCGTAAATATGGTAAATGAGATAATAATGGATATAAATCATCTAATTTATTACATGTATTCATAGTTACATGTAAATGAATTAAATGTTTATGTTGATAATTTTCTGGAAGAGTTGTTTTCGATAATGAAGTATCAGGCATCCATCGGACTAAAGTTACTTTTAAACGACGTAATAAACTTGGTAAAGATAAAATTGTATTCATATCCGATGGATGTATTCGATTAAAAATCATTGTGTGAATATAAGATAGATTTTGTGTATTGCATAAAAAATATTTTGGTACTGACGGTAAACGACAAACTTTAATCCATGGAATATTTTGTTCACTGGAAGAATATCTATTGAAAATCACATCATTCAATGGCACTTTATCATCCCACCATTCAGAAAAATTTAAACGTTCAAGATGTGGTAAAATAGTTGGTCGAATAGCATCCAGTTGCTCATGTGTTAATTGTGTATCAACTACTAATGAACGTAAATTAGAAAATTGACTTAAATCAAGTGATTTATATGGCACATGTATATGTATATAAATAATTTGTTGAGAAAAATAATTTAAAGAACGAGTATTTGCTAAAGTATTTTCAATTAAATCAAAACTAATACGAACAGAACGAAGTATTGAATTTAAACGAGAATTAAGACCACACCATACATGATATAATTCAATTGGAGGAATATATGAAAATAAATCAAGAAAAAGTTCATCGGGAAATATTTCTAATCGAGATGACCTATTCATCTGAAATAAAATAAATAAATTACTATAAAATAATAGACAAAAATTAATTGAGGAAGTATCGCTCAAAATGTAGAACATGTACTTAAGGCCGCACTACATATTATATTTACGAAGGGAGGTCTCCAGATGATTCAGTAAAATAATCATATCTCGAAAATAAAGGTACGAGGGAATAAATCCCGTTGAAATTTACTTTCTGAATTACATATGTACAATAGATTAATAAGAAGAGTATTGAGTATTTATATAAAAGATATTTTGTAAACACAACCAATTGTTCATGTAGTTCAGAAACTTCAAATTGAATATGATAATAAATGCAGAAACTATAAGTATAAAATAATATTAAATTCATGTAGGAATGCATCTCATCAATTAAACCTCTTTATTCCGAAAACATTTTAAATGACAACGTTTCTCATAAGAATATGAATTATTAGCACATTGTTCTATACATATTGTAGTATGTTTATGATTAATTGGTTTACATATAATAATATCATTTTTTTAGAAAAATAAGTCGTGAACTTAATATTTCATCATTGAATGAATGATAATGGTAAAATTGAAATAATAAAATATATCACATAATATCTCATTCAACAGATCTTTTACATGATCAATGTTCTTAATAATGGATAAATTATTATTTAAGAAGAAAATAATTATCTAGAAATTAGGAAAAGCTTTTATTTATTCACAATAATGACAAAAAAAATCAATATGAATTTAAATATAGAAGTTACATCTAAAATATCTTTTTTTGATTATATGATATTCTCTGAATTAAATTACCAACAATATTTTTCCATGGATTGCACTTCATGTTTCACAATTGAATCAAATACAAAGGCGGGTTTACAATAATAAATTTTTTTTTCATTTATCAACAAAAAATTATCATCATTTTGTTTTTTGATATCAAGCATTTCTTTTTTTGAATTACATAGAATAATTAATGTTTTATATGGAATAAAATCATTTAATAATGTAGCACCGGATAATTCAATAATTTCAATTAATTCATCACGTGTCATATTCATTGATTTTATACCATCATGACATTCAACAGATATAATGTATAATGATGGAAATACAGGTAATTTATCGAAACGACATTGTTTAATACCACGACAAGTTTTAATAGATTTTTTATCACGTAAAATTTCATAAGGAAATTGATCAACAATAGATGATTGTTTAATTGATGCTGTTATCCAATCGAATGAACTAATAAATATATGATAAACACATGCTTGAATAATTTGTTTTGATACTGTGGTTGTAAATGAACCATAATCATTTGTAATAACATGAGTTGTTGTATCATCAATATAATCAGGTTGAGATTCACAGGTAAATTGAACGGATTGAGAATCATTATGAAATTTTGTGAGAAATTCTTTGACTTGAGACTAAAAAAAAAGGCGTCATATCGTACAACAGCTGATTTATGTTAGATAAAGAAAATACGTACGATTTGTTTTCTATTCAATGATGTTGAAACGGAAATTACAATGGGTAATGATTCATTTATTTGCATTTGTTCAATCTAAAATATAATACAATATGAATAAAAATAACATATTTTCAAAAATACGTACTTTCGGTTCATTGATTACTTCTAATGGGATTATTTGTTTATCATCATCATTATTATTATTATTCTTCTTTTTAATTTTTGTATCTAAACGCTTTAATTTAGTTTTCATATTTCTTGATTTTAATTGTATTTTATCTTTTGGTTTATTTTCTTTATTATAATGTATTTTACATAAACAATCGGATGCTGTACAAACTTTACTTCTACATTCGTTACATAAACGAAACCAGGATTTTTTTAATGGATCGTATTCTTCCCAATAATTTTTATTATTTTCAATTGATTTACCTTTAACAAAACGTACACGAAATGAAGGTTCATCATCATCATCACTCAATTCTATCATTATTATAATCTAAAGTAAATAATTAATTTTTTTTTTAATAAATATAATAAAATTTAGTATGAAATAAATATATACCCATGCTTAATGTATGATCCCGCTTGAATATTGTTTATAAAAGAAAACAGAATATTAACTGTGTTATGTGTTAGTGATAAAAGAAAATGAAAGAATGTTAACATTTTTATCTAGTCTTATAATTTAGATAGCAAATAAAAGATAATTCAATAGAATAGGTTGATCGAGAAAAATGATAACGATCAACGCCATTATATTGTATATATCCTGAGGGGACATAATTACAACATGTGTATGATCATAAATGTAGTATTAGTGTCAAAATGAATTAAACTTTATCAGCTATATTAAATGTGTTATTCAATAACAAACTATTATATTTATTTATGTTCACATATAATCATTCTAGTATGTTAAAACTACTTTTTTTTGTTAGTACAATTATTTCTAATGTTATTTTGTTTGATGAAATAACATTCAAATTAAATTAGTTATGTCATGCAAAGAATATATCTAATGGATAATACATTACAGATATTTGAAAAAAATTGCCTACAATAAAAACAATATCACTCTTATTCTAATCAATTTTATTACGAAATCCTAGTACAACTGTGTTCAGAACGTACTTGACATCGTCTTTTAAAATTTATTATTTTATGTCCTATGATATCAACTAAAATATAGTAATAATCACCTATGTGACAACTTTGTCACGTCTTGATATTCAATAAAATACGATTGTCGGAAAAGCTATCTTAATTGAAGAAGAGAACGAAAGATGAAAAGGTATAACGACAGCTGTATATATATATATATGTATATGTTGGAAAAAACTATAACAGAAAAGGGAAAAACATCATGACACACTGTTGGAAGATATGGATAATTCGATTATCTCAGAAACTGCAAGAACAATAAGATTCATTCTCGAGTTAAATAAAGATGTATTTGAGTCATTTCCTCCAAGTATAAAATTTTTACTCGTCGAATGTACATCTGAAAAAGAAAATTCTGAACTCTATCATCACTAGAAGTTAATCAGACTATTATTGGTCTTGTCAAATAAAACTCTTATCAGATAAAATATTACACAATAAGTATAATAAATCTTCTATCTAACTTTAAAGAATATCTCAAATAAAAACAAAGAAATGAATTCAACAGAACATACCATTTATTAAATTCTAATCGCACTCATAATTCATTTAAACAATAAATATATATATATTCCTTTTCGATTATCTAAACAATAATGCATATATATATATATTATATATATATATTTGATCGCTAGGAATAAGACAAAAAAAGATCACAAATGATTTATTTGCACGCACACATAAACACTTCACAACAGAGTTCTATTTTATGTTTTTTTTTTCTTACATACAAACAAAAAACAAACAACCACACACACACACCAAAAAAAAAAAAAAAAGAAAAAAAAAGAGAATACAAAGAAACAACAAGACAATGATTAATAAATGAATATATAATATGTTGTTGTTATTGTTGCTGTTGTTGTTTTTGTTGTTGTTAGAAATTTATAATGAATATTTGTCAATATCTTGTATTTCAAATTTAATAATTGATTTAAGTAAAAAATCACTTGTTACATATTTTATATTTGATGCTGGTGCTTGAATATATTTTTCTTTAATTTTATTTAAATTTTTATCATTGGTATCACATAAAACAATTAATATATCAACTGCTTGTTCCATTTGAAATAATTGTGCACCTGTTAATTGTATTAATTCAATTAATTCACTACGATTTATTGAACCTTGACATTGTCGACATTCAATTGCAAATGCATATAATGATTGTGATGTTGGTGAAAATAAATATTTATTCGTTAAATTTAAATCTTGTTTCGATAAACGAAGTGTTGTATGAGAATCACTTTGAATTTCATATGAATGTTCATCAATAAATGTATTTAAACGTATACATTCATTTAACCATCGTGATGAGATTATAAATATATGTTGACGTACAGCTGCTTGAACAATTTTTTTTGTTATTGTACAATGTAAATGATTTTCACTATCATCGACAAGTAGATGTGTAGTTAAATTATTTACATTTAAATTTGTTGATAATTGAACTTGAGGAAATTGACGAATAAATGAAAGAACATCAGTCTAGTAGAAAAACAAAGAATTTTTTTTTTTTGCTATTGAATAATATTAATTTACCCATTGATCATCGAGTAGAGTAGTTGTTGCAATAACAATCTCAAATTATAAGAATAAATAAGAGATAAATAAGTGATATTATATTATAAATTTTACTTGATTTGCTGGAATTAAGGAGAGAGATATTGAAGATTCACGTTTTCGTTTTTTAGTTTCAGATTGAACTGGTACATCGGATGTTGTTTGACGAGATGAAGTGGTTTTATCAATCTATATTAAATAACACGATGTAAGTAAAACAAAAAATCTTTACACTCACTTGTACATCCATTGCTTCGGGTTGATTATTACTTTTTTCTTCATTATTAGTACCATTTGTAGTTAATGATTGCGTAGTACTACTTTCGGATTGTTTACTTTGAGCTTCTTGTTGATGTCTAAATTTTGTTTTTTATATGAAAAGATTAGTATTTGTATAAAAAAATAAATTTTCGATTTAGTTACCGTTTACAATATAATTCACTTTGTCGAGGTACACGACTGTGACATGTAGTTATTGAACAAAGAAAACGTAATTTACCCGATGCATCTCGAAATGTTCGAGTTGTACCGATTCGTTGTGGTATATTTGACTAAAATACAGAAATAAATCAATAAATTAATATGAAAAGATTATTTACTTTTTTTGGTGTTTCATATTCATCGGATTGACTTCCATTAGTACCATTTTCTGGTGCTGCTGGTGGTGCTGCGGACGGTGGCGGTGATGATGATGTTGTTGTGACTGGAGTTTGAAATGGTGAACGATAACGATTTTTTTTCGATTGATTTGATACGGGTGGAGCTGATTTACGCTTTGAAGTTCGACTCGTTCTTTTACTGTTATCGTCAGTTTTTTCTGTAGGCATATGTCTTAAATTTATGAATTTAATTCTTCTTCGTTTTTATCTTCTTCTAAATAATAAATAACTTACAAACGGCAAAATATATCTGATTGACGTCTCAGGATATTTGCACAAGGCAGTTGCGCACAAAGATATCGACGACGGCCAGAACTATCACGGAAAGTACGTGTACCTGTTTTCTCATCAATTTGAACTTGACGGTTAGTCTATTTAGAAAAAAGAAAGATTAATATGATAAGAAAAATCAATTCAATAAACTTGAGAATTAGGTGAAAGTGGTGTTGAACTATCTGTTGGATTACTATCATTCACTTCTTCAGTGTTGTGTTTATTCGGAGAATCTAAAGAAGAAAAGATTTTAAAGAAAAAACTTAATTTGTACATACCATTATTTTCGGTTTCTTCTATTTGTTCTACACGATTTGAGTCTGTTTTTGTATTTTTTCGTGTCTACAAATAATTATATAAAAATCAATTAATTATTGATTTATTCTTACTTTCGTTGACGTTTCTTCTTCTAAAACTTCACCATTATCTTCGATATCATTTTCATCAACTAAAAACATAAACGATATATTTTGATAGAACTATCAAATTTCAATTTACTAGGATCAGATTTCGTTGAAATATCAGCAGTATCATCATTTTCTAGTTGTTGTTGTTGTTCTGTTTGATCTTGTGCATGACTATAAAAAGTAATTAAGATTATCTTTGTACAAATCTTCAGGATAATAATCAACTTACGCTTTACAATATAAATCTGCTTCACGTGATACACGCGCTTTACATGTTGGATTAGTACAAACATAATACCGTCGACCACTTGGTCGATGAGCGGAACGGACCAGAAAATAACGTCGACCCGTAGTTTTTGATGTGATTATTGTTCGTTTCGTGCCGGGAGTCATCTAAAAATAATCAAAAGAAAAAAAAAACAATAATATAGAAGTTACATATTGCCTGATTTTAAGCTAAATATTCATACAGATAGAGAAAGAATTTATATACTCAAATCGTTGGTACCACATTGTTCAAACGAAGGATATATGAACTTTGAGGAAAAACAAACGAACATTATAAAACAAATATTTCACAAACTCGAATCTTATGGCTCTAATGATTCCATTTCTACAGTTTTTCTACCTTAATAATTCATAAATATTTCCATTTTCGATTCTTTCTCCTGAAACTAAATGGTTCAAATATAACTCAACTCAAATATTGAGTAACAAAAAAAAGTGAAATCTGCATCTAAATTGCAAACGATATTCTAAACTATGACGTACATCTTAACAAAAATATTTCAAATACTACAAACAAACAAAAAGAAGAAAAGTCAAATTTTTATCATCATACATCAGGTTTTTATGTCTCTCTTTCGACTTCTTCAAAATAACAAGATACATGCACATGAACAAAACATGAAATACAACAACAATAACAACAAGAACAAAAAAAAAAGTATATAAACAAATATCGGCTTTAGTTTTGCTCGAAACTCTCTACACAGAAGGAAAAAAAAACAAATACACAAATCGAGAACGTGCTTTCTTTTGTGTGTCATCATGATTTAAAAAAGAAAAAAAAACAAACAAGATAATAAACTGAAAAAGAAGAAAATGCTTGAAGAGAAGATTGTTTAGAATTGAAAATGGAGATTAGTTTCAGGTACAGTTTGATTAGTACTGTTATTACCGAATGGAAATTCATCATTACGTGGAACTTGACTCACAGATGATATATCATCATCATCGTCCTAAAAAAAACCAAATGAAATAATTTTGTAAAAAAACAAACTTTAACTTACATTTTCTGTTGAAAAATATTTTTCAATAATTTCATAGGATTGTTGATAGATTTCTCTATTTGTATGTGTTTGAAGATGTTCAATTTTATCAAGACCTTATTTAAGAGAATTAAATAAAGAAATTTTTGTTTTTTGTATTTCTACCTCCACATTCTTCAATTTCCACTACAATAGTTTCGAGACTATCTTCTGGTGTTTGTTTAAGAATATTATGTATTGCATCAAGACAAACTTGTAAAATTTGAGGATCTTGTTGTTGTAATAGATTACTAAAATAGAAATAATCAAATAAAAATACAATTCATTTTTATGAAGGTGATCAAACCAGAGAGGAGGAATAACACGTTGATTAACAACATATTGAATTTGTTGAGGAGAACCACTCATTGTTAAATTCGATATACACCAAGCTGCTTCTTTTTGTGTTTGAATTTCACTCTATTATTGATAAGAAAATAAAATATTTATTACGATTTGAAATTTTATTATTTTACATATTGCAAATGATGAATTACATCTGGTATAAGTTGAGCATCAATAACTGCTTGAACTTGTTGTTGATTACCAGCAGTTATGTTCGATAAAAACCAAACAGCTTCCTAAAAGTTAATTTAATACTATATCACAAAACGAAAAGTCCTTTTTTTATTATTAGATATAGATTGGATAGACGAATTCTGCATTTGTAGCTTCGAAATTCCGCAAATTTTTACATGTAATCGTATGAAAAATTTCTCATTCGACTATTCCTCTTCATTTATATGATGCATAGATAAGAATTTATGCCTTGAATCATAATTCTTACCAATGTTACTGTTCTAGTGGACTCAATAAAAGAATAAAAATTAGGTACTATTATTAACATTAGAATAAACTTCAATTACACTTAATAAGTCTTATTAGTTATTGAGATTCAATTTAGTACATACGTATAAAAGTTTAACATAATGAAAAAAAACTGTATTAACGAGTTCTTATATCAACAGTCTATTGAAATATAAGCTGTTCTTAACAGCAATACTATCACAATATCTTAGACAAACATGAAATAACTGTTGAATAAACATTATTGAAATCTTAAATAGATTTACAAATTTTATCTAAAGTCTTTCTTCGACTGTGAATGATATCTTGTATTTCTAACAAATAATTCAAGAAAAGACACTTATTAGTTCGACTGTACAGTAAATAATCAATACAAAAACTATGACGTCATCTACCAGATGTTATATAGATTATTATATCCTTGAACTTTCTAAAGAAATAAATAAATCTTAGACTTACTTTATTAAGTTTATCTTTTTCATGTTTTAGTAATTTTGAAAAATGATTTAAAGCTCCATGATTAAGTACAAGTTGAGTTTGTTCATCCGTACCCGTAACTACATTTCCAACAGCTCTCAATGCTAAATATACATATAAACAATTGTAAAAATAATATACTATTTGTTTAAACTACCAGCTGTGACTATTTTAATTTCATTATGATTTAATAATTTAACAATATATGGTATTAAACCAGCTTCAACAACAAGCTAAAATAAATAGATATAGTTTAAAATACAAAATCGAAAGAAATAACGATTTACTTGAATTATGTTATTTCCACTATCGAGAAGATATGCTAATGCCCATGTACAATCAACAAGAATCTAAATAGAGATAAAATCTTTGTTTTTTTCTACATAATTATTAAATAATTTCTGCTATATACAGTCACATCAACATAGGATAGAAGATATTTCAAAGCCGGTAAAATATCTTGTACAGCAGTTAGTGATAATGGTGGTTCTTTATGACGACAAAGATTAACAATAACCCATGTTACATTTCGAAGAAAAGTAACAGGTATATCTTTTTGAATAAATTCAATCAATGGTTGAATAACACCTAATTCAATTGCATAATCACGTAATCTTGGACCATCACCTAGAAGAATATTTTTCTTTTCTCTTATAAAAAATATGTGTAAAATTGTTACCAATAAGATTTCCTAATGCCCAAACAGCTTGTTCACAAACATTTGAATGTGTTGAATGTAATAAACGTAATAAATATGGTAAAGCATTTGCATCAGCAACTGCTTGTGTTTGTTGTGAATTTCCCGATGCAATATTTGTTAATGCCCATGCCGCTTCAAATTGTAATTCAGGATATTGATCATATGTTAAACATTTGACAAGTATTGGAAGAAAATTTAAATGTATTAAATCATCAATTGGAGGATTACGATCAATAGATAAAAGTTTTCTTGCTGAACGTATACCTTCAAAACATATTGTTAGATCTGTATTTTGAGATTTTGTCATAATTTCATTTAAATTTAAATTTCGACGTTGTTCATGATTATTATCATCATCATCATCATTATCTGACATACTATCATCGACAATTAAATTACGTTTGAATTGAATTTGTTCATCACGTTTATTCTAAAAACAAATGAAATAATTCGGGTTTTTCTTTCTCGTTTGAGATATGAATTCATACTTTTCGTAATGAAACATTATATTGATTTCGTCGACGTCGAAGTTCATCGGGATCTTTACCGTGATGTTTATAAGACTGAATACGAGTATTTGTATTTTTTGGCAATGAAGAATTCATATCTAAGAAAAACAAATGGAAAATTTATGAATTATTATTTTCCATCTACATTATTGATGGATGAATAAGTTTAACCGTTGCATTTGGATAGGCTCTTAACTTATGTCCTTTATTTCTAAAATAATCCACTAACAAGATTAGAAGCATAAAAAAATAATTTTTTTTTATTAAAATGACTCATTCATTCATGTTTATAGTAGATTCTTTTTTTCTATGTTACAGTTATTAAAAAAGAAAATAAATGAGCGAAGGTTTTTATTTAAAATAGATGGCAGTAGGTGTCAATGGTTTGTATAGAGGATTGTCATGGAGATATTATTTTACAAAGAACTATTTTAATTGATATAATAGATTTGTATTAAATATTAATATAAGCAAGAAAAATTGTCAAAAATAATGTATTTTTACCATATATTATCTACAAACAACAGCCATCAGATTGAGAACAAATTTTTTTTTGACAAAACACTTGATTTTCACATGACAGGTATGAGAGAACAAGAGAATTCTGTATTTTTTTAAAGTGATTATTTGAGTTAAATGGTAAAAATGTTAAGTATATACTTCATACTCAAAATAAACATTTTTACATGTGTCAATCTCCAAGTATCGATTATCTTAGAAAATTTCAAATTAAGTAGCATTTTTACAACGATTTTTCTTATTAATAAATAGTTGTACAATAGAGAAAACTTAGTACAGTTGAATAACGAGGCTCTTTGGAAAAGTATTGAACCGTAAGTGTCTAAAACGAAATGGAGATCGGTTAAAATTGATCAAGATGGATAGAAAAAGGGCAGTTTTTAATTCAAAATTAGAACCTAAACAAGAAGAATGGATAGATTCTATGTAAAAGTCAGTTTCGATTTCGATTTGATTTCCATAAAGTCGTTAACAAGATGGACTAAGAAATGTGTAGTATATTAATCAAAAAATTCAATAAATGCAAAAGAAAAGAAAAATTTGCCTCGATATTACTACAAACGTAGTTCAACTTTATGTCTAAGTTTAATCATACGATGTGTTCTCTTACATATCCTATAAGGTATATATTTTGTTTTTGTATAGATTCTGTTGTATTGAATTATAAATACAAATGTATAAAATACTATTCATACTATTCCTGTTATACAGTTCAAAAAATTCATTACTGAATCTTTCATAAAAACTGTTCGATAAAAAATGAGCATATTCATACAATAATTTTTCAACTGATTTTTTATAATTCTATTAATTATACGACAACAGAAAACAGTAATAGAGTCTAGTTGAGCGAAAGATTTTTAAATTTCTGTGACCATGACTGACTCCGTCATAAAAATATATGCAATCGGATCATCAAGGACATAACAACTTTTTTATATTCACTTAAGTGATTCAATATTGATTTTATGTCCTATTTAATAAATCAACACTTATCATGTCATCTTATAATAAGATTTTTTATAAATTTCAATATAGATTGTTTTCAAATCCAAATGTTTTGATTATGTCTGCATTTTTGTAGATGACTGATTATTCGGTATATCAAGAGGTCATAACGGTATCATTACAACATAAGTTTTTTTCGTAGAAAAAGCGAGACAATGCTGATAAATAAATCACAGTAAATCATTTCCACTGTACACGGAAACGATATCAATACGAATAAATCATAGCAATATGTTTTATTGTCCTTCAGAAGACATTGAAATGAAACTTGAAAAATTGATTTCAGCAGTTACTGAACACTATATTGATTACGATATATCTAGAATAGATCGAATCATCGTACTTATCGCATATGAAACAAAATAAGTTCAAAAATATCTTATTTTTTATTAGAGCGTGTTTCATGATAATCACATAATTTTCTATAAGACTTGATATAAAAATAATCATCATAAGTAAATCAAACAATTTATCTTGAAGAAAAAGAAACGACTCTTGTTTCGAAATGCTCTATATATATAATAAACCAATTTCATTTGAATTAGTTATATGATCATTTTAAAAGATAAATAAACAAAGCAAATAAATGTCATAACAAATCTAACAACTAATACTCTTTAATGATTTATCTATGTATGATGAAAACGATATTATTGTTATCATCAAAATATGTGAGGTAATACATTTTTTTTATTAATTATTTACAGGACATTATTTTACTAGATTAGCAATATAAATGTTGACATTCGTGTTGATGTAGATGTTGAGACCAATATATATGGTAATGTAATACCTTCACGTTTATATATATATATATATATATATATATGAATACTTGTCAAATAAAAAGTAGGTGTATAAAGCCTCCTATGTGTATAGTTTTCTTTTGAAAGTCTCGTTACAAAAAAAGGCAACAGACAAAACTATTGTCAAGGTTATTGTATACAGTTGTAATCCTATGTAAAAATGACATTCAACAATTGAATATCTCCTAACCTTTTTTTTTCTCATTTATATACTAAGTTATTATTGCATAACATATTAAAAAAGATGGTGCCTATTCAGCCATTTGTGACAGGTGCCGTGATTGATGAAGACCCATATGGTCGTTATCATAAAATGCCATTTCAATTCTATGAATAAAAGAATATAAAAGAACCAATTTGGAGGTTAATAAATAGAAAAAGAAAGAAAAAAATTTTGGCATTAAAACCGTTTCGTTCAGGGTCAGTAAATGTTCTAGTCTAATATTATACGATAAGAAATATAAACCGATTTTTATTTCATGAAGAAGAGGGAGAATTCGTTTTTTTATATAATATTCTTTTCTTTCATATTCAATATTAAATGTTTATAGATTATGCATTCCCGAGAACAGAAAACTAAGTTTTGAGTTAGAATATACGATCAAAAACAAAAATAATCTTTTTCTTGTTTTGATTGGATATTGATTTATATCTTAATTAAAATAATATTATTGTTTTTACAGTCTTACATTCTTCATCTCCTTTTTCTTCTCTAATATGAGAAAGTTTCATATACAGAAAGAAAAATATGCGATTAAATTTATATCCCGTATTTAAAATTTCTTGATCTTTATTTGGTTCGATCGGAAGAACAAGCCATTCATTTTCTTTTTTTCATCTCTTTCATACGCACATTCTAGTTGCAAATAGAACGAATAAAAAAACAAGAAGAAAGGGAAGAACATACATAACAAACCGTCCCGTCTCGATATGTACACATCTACCTATTCATCATCGCCTGTTCGAGCATCAACATTGGAGACAACGCCAATAAATTATCAAACTCAGACTTATCATCGTGAACAATATCATTCTTCAAATAATATCAGTAATAACGGCGTTAATATAATGAATGATGATAATATAAATTTAAGACGTGGTGTTAATGGTTTTGGTAATTCAAGTTCATCTTTAACATCACTTCCTGCAAATACACCAACATCAGCAAGAAAATATACTCATAGTTATGCTAATCAACCAACTGATCCAAATCGATATCAAACAACATCTTATCGTGGATATGGAATTGAAAATGAATCAATTCGTCCAAATACTACACGTTATGATTTAAGTGGAAATGTTCGAGCATATTCCTATGATAATTTATATAATGAACAAAATCGATCTCAACCATCAGTAAATAATTCACGTAGTAATGTTCGTTATGCTCAACAACAACAAATAAGACGTGAACCACCATTAAGTGATCATTATGATGATGAAGAAGATGATTTGATAGTAAAATCAACAGATTTACCTGCAGCACAAGAACAAGAAATGATTATATTAGTTCGAACAGCATTTCGAAAATATCAAATAACTAATCAACGTGAATTAGCTGGTTTTCTTAAACGTGCTGCAGATAAAACATTTACACCATGTTGGCATTGTATTGTTGGAAGACAATTTAGTTCCTATGTTACACATGAAATGAATGGTTTTATCTATTTTACAAAAGGTCCTCTATCAATTTTATTATTTAAAAGTGGTGCTTAATCTATTTTTAACTATTGCTTATTCTTTATTGTACATATTGATTATTTAGTATTTATTTATTTTTCTTCATTCAATAAAAAAAAAAGAAAGAAAGTGCTATATTAAGTTCCAACCAATCTTACTCTTGTATTTGTCTATTACTATCAAATACGAAATAAAAAAAAAAAGAAAAGGACTGCATTTTACCTATCATTCTTATTTTTTGTATTCGAATAGAGAAAAAAAGAAAACAAAATATGGCCTTGTATCTTAATATACAAAAAGAAAAACGAAATCACAAACTTAGTTATATACGCTATTAGTTCCTCTTTCATCTAAATCAATACAATTCATTTCGAGGATTTTTTTTATTTTCGTCTTATATAAAGGTATACATACATATTTTTTTTGTAATAATATATATATATGGTTGAAAAACAACTATTACATTATCAATATATCGAAGAACCGTATGAAATATCTCTTCATAACAAAATGTAATTGAATAGCAATCTTAAGAAAAAGAAATAATGTTCATTCTCTAGTTGTTTATTGTTTGATTGTTATTTTGTGTGTGTGTGGCAACATATTGTCCTTGTTTTTTTATATTCTTTTATTAATTGATATCAATTATATAATAAACCAGGGCCAAATACTTCAAGTACAATCATCAGACAATAACAATCTCTAACACAAATATTCATAATATGTTCAGACATCATTTGAAGATATACTATTAATACCTGCTGTTTTCATGGTCATATATAGCATAAATATAAGATGACATGAAATATCTTCTATACAACTATTCTTTGACAAAATCTATAAAAATTGTCAGAAATTATTGCACCAATTATGTTTTCAAGTATTATATTTCGTATATGTCAGTAAATATATAGAGAATTAGACTAATCAAAATTATTTTTGTGAATCATATGTAAAAATATAGGAGAATTCTATCAATCTTCTAAGTGAGTAAATCAATTTTATAATTTATCATAAAACTATTTTAAGAACAAGAAAAAATATTAATAGGATTTTCATGTCATTCATGATTTTTCATATAATATTGTTCTTATTATATTCTATAATAATTAGAAAGCAAAACAAAGTATACTACGACAAATGTCCAATGAAATGAAATATAAATTATTTAATGTTTCAAAAAAACATGTACATTGAATTTTTTAAAGTCTATGTTAGAAAAAGAATAGAATCGAAACGACAAAATGATTAGCTAATTTAGTTTTTCTCTTTCACTTTACTATTGTTCGACGATTCGAAATTATCCATGTGTACGATCAATGGAAAACATATATCACATGAAATGAGAGAAAAAGAATAAAATTTAGATTTCTTTGCTATATGGTTGTTTTGAGTCTATCAAAACGCGGTGTATTTGGAATTAAACATGGTCATTTTGAAATTCGATCTCGACGGGCAGTTTTTATCAATGGTGAGTATTACATTTGATTATTTATGTGTCTTGGTAGATCCATTCATTTCTCTTTATTATTACATGGTTTATCTCATTAAACATGATTCAACACATGGTAAATTTTTATGCGGTGTTTCACATAAAAATGAGGCCAATATTTTTACTGAGTAAATATTTTGAAAACTAGCATTAAATAGTGATTGATTAATGGATTTTTTTATTGAGGGTATTGAGTATGTTACTGAAACAACCGGTGTATTTACAACAATTGATAAATGTCAATCGCTTTTACAAGCTGATGCTAAAGATGTTATAATTGCAGCACTATCAACTAATGCTGCTAAAGCTATATATATTTATTTATGTTATTTTTAATAGATAAGGAAATAGACTTGTATTTTATTAGATTGAAAAACTAATTCTTGATTTAAATGGAAAACTAACTGGTATAGTTGTTTATGTTCCTACAGCAAATATTTCAGTTGTTGATCTTACTACTCGATTAAACAAAGGCGTCAATCATATTTTAATTTTTAAATTCAATATATTTGTTTAGGTTAAATATGATGAAATATGTGTACTGCAATTAAAAAGGCTGATGATGAAGTTTTTTCAACAGATTTATTAATGATACACATTCAGTCAGTTTTTATATTAAAGCTCTCGATTTTCTAATTTGTAGTTAAACTATTTTAAGAACGAAAGAATATATATTAATGATGAATTCTTGTCTTTTATTACATATCATTCATGATTTTTCATATAACACTGTTCTTATTTTTTATTTTCTAAAATCAGAAAACAAAACAAACTATTACTATAACACATGCTCAATGAAAAGAAAAATCACTAGATATATAATTAACCTAGAAGATAGAAAAACGGCGATTAAGCTGATTTTTTGTCAGCTTGATCCCATGGACTTTGTTGTTGAACTCCTGTATTTCCACCGGATTGTTTTTCATCTCTTTTACTAAATGATGATGATTGATCATCAGTTTTTCGTCTTGTTTGTTGTTTATTATCTTCAGTAACTTGTTTTGAACGTTGTGGAATAGGTGATGTTGATGTAGTTTCCATTGTTCCAGGTTTAGTTTCGTTACGTTTTGAAGTATTTTGATCTCGTGCACGTAGATTAGTATTATCATTTCGATTTAAACGTGATGTTTGTTGACCAGGATTTTCTTGACGAGAATATTCATTACGATTTGAGAATCGTTCATTTTCATTAGACGAATATTGTGAACTAAAAATAAATTCACTCAATTTTATCTTCTTTTTATTATTATTATTAAATAAATACCGTCGTTCATAACCACCACTTTCAAATCGACGATTATTATCTCGATTATAACCACCATCACCACTTCGTTGTCTCATATTACCTGAGTTTTGATTATAACCTCCTCGAAAGCCAGAGTCCCGCTTTAAAAAAATAAAAAATTTGAATACTATTTTCTAATCTTGTTAATCAACTTACAGAATTACCACCAGTTCGTTGGTAATTGTCACGAGAATTTCCTTGTGCACCTTGTTTGTTAGGCAATATAGCACCACGACGACTAAAATACAAATAATGTTTATCGTATAGAATGATTTATCATATATATTTACGTTATAGGTTCATTCATAAAATCAACTAAATCAGTAGTTGATAAACGATTATTTGTTGAAACAAATTTTTTTAAATCTTCAAAACGTGTTTTAACATCTTGATTTTCTGTTTTATCTACTGCTTTTTGAATATATTGTAACTAAAATAATTAACAGAACAAAAATATTATTTTTTACGATTTTAAATAATAACAAACCACAAGTGGAAATACACGACGACGATCATCATCAACTGGTGGTTGATCAGCAAGTAAATGAACAACATTGACTGCTTCTTCTACTCGTCCGAGTTCAGCATAACAAATTGCCTTTTTAAATAAAAGTTCATTTATGAGTAAAATCAAAATTTTATAGAAATAATTTTATACTCGAATATTTTGTATTGTAGTTAAATTTTGTGCACGAACAGCACCAAGAATTTCCATAGCTAATGAAGGTTCACCCTAAATAAATATATTCTTTTAAAGATGACAAATATACTTTAATATTATATCTCTATTACTTGTTGAATTGCTAATAAAGCAATCATAGAAGCTGTACGTGGATTAACATCAGAATCACGTTGCATTACTTTCGATATTAATTCTTTAGCTTTTGCCAATGATGCTTTTGTATTCTAAAAAGAAATTTTAAATTTTCGTTATATTTGATTAGATAGATTTTGTTTTTACTTGTCGATACAATCCTTCAATTGTTAACATAACAACATCTGTTGGATATGTTCGACCACTTGTAGTAGAAAAACCACGTTCACTTCCATATTCAAATACTTTAACAGCGTCATCAAAACGTTTATCTTCAATTAATTTATTTAAAAGAATAAGAGCTGATCCTGAATCTTGAAATATGTCTTTTAAACTCTAATAATAATTAATCATAATAAATAAATCAATATCAATAAAAAAAATACTTACATCATCCATAAAAAGTTTCATAGCTAAGTCGGGTTTATTACGAATATATAATAAACGCATAACAGGTGAACCAAAATGATAATCAGTAAATTTAAGTTTATTTGAATTATATCTTTAAATGAAAAGAATTAGTTAGGATATCTTTTTTTGGGAAATAATTTTACTTTTTTAAAGCTTGAATAACACCATCTATTTCTTCATCAGTATCAGCTGACATAATCATATTACGTAAATCTTCAGTGAATATTTGCGAGTCAGATTTATTGATAGAATCAAGAAAACGTTTTTTAAAACCATCTAAAATATGATATATAAAAACAAGAAATGAGGAAAAAATATGCTTTTACCAAGTGAGGGAGCATGACGTGAAATATGTTGTTCGCGAGCCAATTTAAAATTTTCAAGACCAAGACCAGTACTAGAGAATATAGTGCGAACATGAACAGGTAAACCTGTACGGAGAGTAGCACATGTTGAACCTAAAATAAGAAAGAATATCGAATTTTTCTTCGCAAACGGAGAGAAATAATTATGTAAGCAAGGCGTGGGTCAACTGATTAGGAAACCGGAATGTTCAGCACGGATTTTTTAGCACTCTTGAGAGTGGGTGTGGGTGCGGGCGGCCATCAGTAGTGTATTGTAATCGAACATCTACTCCCGCATTAACACCCACACCCACACCCTGAACGTTCACCAATCCGACTGATTAATAAGAACACCCACACCCTCAAGGTATAAACTAAACTTACGATTGATAGTTAAAATAGCACTTGAAGCGATTGTTCTAATAATATGAGTCATCTATAAAAAAAAGAAAACAGAAGTGAACTAATCGTTTATATTTAATCTGTACAATTTGAAAGACAAAAAAAAGTGGAAAATTAGCGATTGCGTTTTATAATATCTATCAAAAATTTAATATCATTAAATAATGTCCAAGCTAATGGTGCGCCCATAGGTAAATATAATGGTACATATATAGCAAATTTTTGATCATCTGGAAAGTAAAGTAATTTAAGTAATGATGGATCAAAAAAGACTTGATCAGCAAGTAAACGTCCTTGTTGACAAATATTATGTTGTTTATTTTCTTGACATTGTTCTAATAAATCAACTGAATTATGTATTTTTTTCGCCATAATATCATCAATAACAATATTAGGAATTGAAAGAAGTAATTGAGATAATGTTAATAATGTTTGTCGTCCATTATTATAATTTTCAATTGTACGTAATGAAATCCATTGATCAATTGTTTCAATACCTAATAATTGATTGAAATGATTAAGAAATTGTTTCATTACTACATTTAAATTATCTTGAGAATTATATTTATTATAAAATATAACACTACCCCATTTAGGTACAATAATTGAATTTTGTGGATTATTTTCAATTGTTAATGGTGTTTGTTTTTCATCAGGAATAAATAAAATAAAAAATATTTTTTCACGATAATGTTTTGTTGAACGATGTAATAAATATTCAAGTTTATTAATAAAAAATGGTATTTGTCGTTTTTCTAAACTATGAATTGTTTCACTTGGTAATATTCCACGTGTATTCGAAATAATTTCTGTTGATATATCAAAATCAATATATTTCGAATATGTATTGATTAAATAAGGAGCAATTGTTGATGCTATTATTTCTTCATATTCAGTTTTATTTAAACTATAATTTTCATCATTATTATTAACTAAATAAAACGATATTTCATAAGATGAAGCCGCTTGAAATGATGTTAAATTTGTTACAGTTACATCCTCCGACGATGTTGAAGCAAGAGTTGTTATACGAGAATATGGTAATGGTGCACGATAAGTAGTTGTTGTAGAATACCATAATGGTAAACCAACGAAAAGAAAAAGAAACGTAAAAATAAAACGATTGATGAATAAATAGAGTTTTTCATCAGGTAACTCTTTTTTGATTAAAGTTAAGATATTCATATTTTATATGAAAATCTAGAAAAGAAAAATAATGTAATAATAATATAGATGTGTTTATTGACAAATAAATAAAATAACATAAGACATTGATCAAATTCAATTGTAATCAAAAATGAAACGTCAAGTAAAAATAACATAAATTATCATCAACTTTTATGATATGATTTGAAAACTGAAATATAAATTTATTTTTATTACTGACATTGTATAGTTATCAAAAAGTGTAAAATATTGTGTATCGAACGAGTCAGAAAGAAAAAAGAAAAAGTGAATGAGTTTGAGGTTGAAAGAAAATATTTGATTTGATTGGTAGGAAAATATACAGCATGTAAAAATAATTCATGAAGGACGATGTCCTATGATAGATGTCGTTGAAATTCTTCTAAATAAAAATATTCTTTTATTATAAAAATAAATATTTTACAATTCAGAATTATTTTAAAATTTGTTTAGATAATTTGAATTTTTTCTTGTCACTAGTTACTAAGCAACCATGATTTCTTGATAATGACCGATGTCACATTTTATTTGGACCTTTTTCTTTTTGAGCGATGGCATCGGTAGCACCAGATAAAATACTTGAAATAAAACAATTAATATCTAATCATCTCTCACAATCCGATATAAATAGTGCACTTCGTGATGTTCTTTCGGATTATTCACAACGACATCCAAATTCAGGACCAATTAGCCGAGATCATTTAATAAGTGAATTAAAAAATCGTGGTGTGGTCGATTCAATGATGCAAAATATTCAATTTGGTAATCAACAACCATCACCTAGACAACGTCAATCACTTCCAATGACATCGAAACCAACTGTGAGTACAGTTGATACTGATCAATTAGTTTCTGTACCATTAGAACAAGTCAATTTTGATGCAAATAGACGACATCTTTATCTACAATTTCTCAATGGGAAAGCTTTTACTGGTAAATATAACAATAGGGTTTTTTTTCTCGAAAAATCTTAATTTTTTTCAGATTATCTGAATGAACCACAATCGGAAAATTACCCAGGTTATTCTTCATCATCATTAGCTTCATCATTTAGTATATCAATTTTATTTCGTAATCAACGTTTTCGTACAAGACCATTTGCATGCGCTGGTGAACCATATATTAATCAGGGATTTTTACTTGAACTTCATAAAGATAAACAACAAGGTATAGTTTTTTTTCAACATACTCAACAATTTAATTTTTCCTTTAGGAGAATATGGTGCTATGGCCGATACTCAAACTCTTCTATCAATTTGTGATCGTATTCATATTGTTTTAACACGAAAAGACACACTAGGCGAAATTCATCTTGTATCATCTCATTTTCTTGAATGGCGTCAAGTTCTTTGTGCACAAGCAAGTAAAACGAATCGTATACTTGAATTAAATGGCATTGGTAATATTCTTAAATATAAATATATATAAAACATTTCTTATTTTATTAGGCGCTGAAAATAAATTACCTGTTGGTGTTATAAATGTTTGTTTACAATTAATACCACCATTAAATGAATCCGTTTCAAACGATATTCTAGCAGCACAATTAGATCTTGAACATACAAAAAGTACAGAACGAGAACGTTTATTTCTTATATATGCTAAACAATGGTGGAAAGAATTTTTGGAAATTCGTGAAGAACATCGAACTAGACTTGTGAAAATCTTTGGACAAGTAAATTTCCTCTTCTTCTTATTATAATCTAATAATCAAATTTTTTCTAGGATGAAAATGGTGTTAATCATCCTGTATTTACTTTTGTTCAACCACTTCGTTCAGGTCGTTTACTTGATACACCACGAGAAGCAGCACGTTTTGTTAGTTTAATTGGTTATGATCGTCATTCAGTTGTTGGTAATACAGATCGTACAGAAATGTGGACACATGCACATGCATTTCTTGCAAGAAATTGTGGAGTAAATAAATTATCATTATATTACATATATTTAAAATGTTTGTTTTTTAGGATTGTGAAAATCATGCTGTACTTCTTTGTAGTCTTTTACTTGGTTTTGGACTTGATGCTTATGTTTGTATGTATTTCGATATTAGTTTTTTTTCAGTATTTTAATTATTTTAATATTTAGGTATTGGAACTAAGGGTAAAAATCAAATACATTCATGGGTTGTAACAATTGGTGCCGATGATGTTTTCTTTTGGGAAAGTTTAAATGGAAATAGGTACCAAAAAAAAAATAGAAAATGATTCTTATTGTTCAATTCAATTAATTTTCTTAGATATCAACATACTTCTATAGATCCGGATGATCCTCCACTTGATAAATTATCATTAAATAATATTCGTCATCCATATAAAACAATTGGCTGTTTATTTAATGATAAATCATTTTATGCAAATATACAAGTATGCAAACTATATGTTTATTTTGCTTATATTGATACAAAATTTTTGTTTTTAGCCAACATGTAATGTTGATGCATGTGTATTTCGTTTAACAGATCAATCAAAATGGAAAGCAATGTCAGTTGATGCAATTGCATCAATAAATACACCTGGTCTTGTTCTTACTGCACCAGTTACACCTCATTTGATGAGTAATACACTCGATCCAGTTGCATTATCAAATGATATTGAAAAACAAATACGTGCTTTAATTATTCAACATAGAAAAGTAAATTGAAGACCTTCGTAGAGTTTAATACTGTAAATATTTATCTATATTTTCAGGATCTTGGTTATACAACTCAATTTGATGATCATTTATCATATTTATTAAGTCCAGCATTGTCTTCCTATGAATTAGAACGTGTCACAGGGTTATCTGTTGGTAATGAAGAATTTCAAGAAGCTGTTCGACGTGCCGTGCCTAATGGACATGCTTTTAAAGGCTTTCCAATACAATTTGTTCATAAAAATGCTCGAAAAGCATTTGTTTTTAGTTTAAGGTAAATTTTAATCTATTCAAATCTCATTTTCTAACAAATCTCTTTTTTTCTCGCTTCAATTTAGAAATAATTTATGTGAAGAAATCGTTTGTTGTCATGGTGATCAAGTGCGTCTAGCTGTTCGTGTACGTGTATTTACCTATCCAGAAAATGCTATTGCTACTTGGATGATGTTTGCTTGTCGTTATAAGAGTGTTGGTTCAACGAAATAGATTATGTACAAACAAATTCTTAATTAGATGTAGTGTAACTCTTTTTTTTTCTTCTTCTTGTTGTTCCTTTTATAATGCTTGGATAAGACGATTTATTTAAAATAGGATCAAAAATAAACTAAGTATAATACTAAGAAAAAAAATCGATATACTATATGTATCATGATCAAGTCTTCTACGAAGCAGGATTAGAATACAATACAATACGGAAGTTTGATATGAATGCAAGTGAATATAATAACTGGGAAAGAATGAAAGACAATAGCATTTTCAAAGCTATATTTGTTCTTTACCAACTGATTTTGCAGCTTGTTGATCAACAAAAGCTGATGAATATTGAGCACCAGATGCACTTATTGGTGCAAATGAAGCGGTATTATTTCCACTTAATGATTTATGTAAAACATCAGCAGATGGTAAATCATCTTGTGTTGATACTGTAGCTCTTCTAGTACTATTAGGTTCTTCTTTTTGTCCATCATGTGGATCTGAAAATGTGCCATGATCAGGTAAGCCTAGATTGAGTTTCTTATTGAGTGCTGTTGTTTGAGCATCAGGTAATAATCCAGGTTTACTATTACTTGTACTGACATACATATTTCCATGATTTTCTTTTCCACCTGTTAATTCGTTAACTTCATCATCATTAGCATCAGTAAATGTTGGTTCATTTGTATGAGAAACATTGGCAGCATTACCAGCAACAGCTTGAGGACTATTTTTGTTTATTGAAAGAAGACGAACTGAATCAGCACGGTCTAAATGTGGTCCATATCTTTCATCGGCTGTTGATGAAGGTTTGATGTCAGCTGGCGTTTGAATCTATCAAAAATAATGTTTAAATTATTCCTAATTTAATAAATGTTATAATCATAATATAGTTGTCGCTCTGTCATCTTTATTATATTAAAAACTAATGTTAAAAAATGTCTTACTTTTTCGAATGAATTTTGCTCTTCACGATGATGTGGTGATTGCGGTTGGTCTTGATCTGATTCTTCATCATCACTTCCTTCATAATGATCAGGTGGTGCAGGTGTCGATGAACGAGACACAGCAGGTGTTGATGGAGCAGAAAATGTTTCATTCGTCTATAAGAAATAATTATGAATTGTTATTGTTACTGATGAAATAAAAGAAATTTACAAGTTTGACTAATTCTTCTTCAAATTCAGGATGAGTACGTTGTAAAGCCATTTGACGAGCACGATAATAATACTAAAATAACATATGAATATACTATCAAATCTTATTATTTTTTTCTTCTACTTACAATGCCTAATGTATTCCAATCTAATAACTCACTTAATCGTTCAGTACGATTACGTAAAATAATACGTTGTCGTCGAGTTAATTGTGAAAAATCAAACATATACTAAAATAATTTCGATATGAAAGAAAATTATCTTATTGTTTTTTTACTTGAGCAAGTTGATGAACTGATTCTTCCGGACTTTTATAACGTCTATCAACAACATAGATACCATATGTTTGTGGTTCATGTACATGTTCTTCCATAAAACATCCAAATCCACTTAAATTTGTTGAAATATTTGGTACACCCATAACCGTACATTCAGCTGGTGTATAACCCCATGGTTCGTAATACGATGGAAATACACCTAAATGACAACCACGAACAAATTCTTCATAATCAAGTGGTAACAATGGACTTGTTGAACGTAAAAATTCTGGATGAAATATAACTTTAACTCGATCATAACGTGCATTAAATAATTGACAACGACGTAATGCACCTAATATTGGATCAGTTGAATCATCACATACATTATGTGTACATATTGGAGGTAATGATGATCGCTGAAAAATATAAATAATTATAAGAAAAAAAGAAAATAAATAAATAAATACTTGTGAAGCATAGATGCATTTTTTTAATTCAATTAAATCACTTGGATGTAATATCTGTTCAGGTTTTGGAAGACAACCTCTTAAATAAATCAACAAAAACAAAATAGTATAAAGATTTTATCTTTAATCCTTATAAGTACCGGGCGGGGTTATTTTATCTCGTTCTGTTGTATATGTATACAGCGATAAAAAAGGCGTGTACTTACGAGAGTTCAACACATATGTCACGTGACTGTTTTAATATGTTATCACAAAAAAATAAAACGTATAGTATTAAAGATTGCTTTCGGCTTAACAAAATGATCTAGACTCATTTCTATCTATAATGAATGCTTTTAGGCAATATTGATGATGTTTATAATCGAGAGCTATTATTTTAATCAAGTATATGTGCAGAAGAAAAGAATACTTCAATGAACTATTGTTTTTTGCTTTTATCTAAATAATAAGTCAAAATTTTACTTTAAGCAAATTTCATAAAGTCGTTTTCCAATATCACTTTGAATATTTTGTACTGTATCACGAAGCATTTTAGCAACAGACTGTCCACGTAAGGATTCGATATTAAAATTATTTGTTGGCGTTGGAAAGATCATAAATGCGACAATAGTTACATCCGAACCAGATGACTTAAAAAAAAATAGAATTTATATAACGAAAAAAAGAAAGAATACTTTCATACTTTAAGCATATGATTTAATCGAGCTAATGATTCAATAAACATATCAGCACCTTTATTTGAAAATTCATATCGACCAGCAATAAAGAAATATAATGTTTTATCCAAATCAAAATCATAATGTCTAAATAAAGTAATCAAATTTTAATTTATATTTTTTCTTCTACTCCAAAATTTAAACGAATATTAAATTTGCAAAATATAATTTTTTTCGATTTTAATTTTCTACCCTAAGAAATGTCCTTGTATAAAATTTGCTATTCGTTCTTGTGAAATAAATATTGGATCTGCTGACCACATCGAACGTGGTTTACGTCGATATAATCGAATATTAAGACCATTCGGTGTTAAAATATCTATAGACATAGGTAGGAAAAGAAAACTTGTTAGAAATTACCCGTAGAAATGTCCGCGTACAAATGCATTTAATTTTTCTTTATTTTGTGCATGTAAATTTTGAAATTCATGCAATGCAGCAAATGTTTGAACATTAAGCCCATTGGGCGTTAATAAATCTATGAGCAAACATGAAATAATAATTCTAGCAAAAATAAAAAATTATATTAGCAGAAAAAAGTTTTACCAGGTTTTCTATTTAATAAAAATTCTGATTCAATGCCAGTAATTTTTGATACAGTTGTAAATACATGTGCACAAGATGCAGCAGCTCTTTCAATACAATAACGATGATATATTTGACGATCACCAGCTTCTTTATCAAGATCAAACTATATATAATAACGAAATTGTATTTGATTTTTCTTTTCATAGAAATATTCTTACATGACTTAAACGATTATAAAAATCAGTTGAACCAGCACATAAATATCGTCCTAAAAGAGTTGCATGAGTTGTAAATATTAATCCACAATCATAACCACGAAGACGTGCCATGACAAGACCAACACCAGCTAACCATTCATGGAAATGAGCAATAACATAGCTTTTCTTAATTTTTTTCACTTGTTCAATAAACTTAACAAAAGAAAAATAATCCATGTACATATACATATACATATATACGAATTAATTATTTTTTTTTCGCTTTCAACTTACTGTACCAATAAACCAAAAAACACAAAAACCGAATATTAATGCATCGTTTGATTCTCGATCATGATATGGAATACCGATATGAGCATATTCAAAAAAATCTCCTTTCCAACCATCTAATCGATGTGCTGCTGAACCAATATCAAAGAGAACAACTTGTGGAAAACCTTCAATCAACCAATTACCAGTTACAACCTAGAAGAATTATTATAATAAATAAAAATAAAATCTTTCTTCTTAATTTACATGAACACCATAACGTCTCATTTCATTAACTGTTTCACGTATCGCATCAATTTTTGATTCACTAACTTCAACTTCGGTTTTAACAAATGAATCATTATATGGTCCCAAACAAATATAATTATTTCCATATTCTTTTTTCGTTATAGGCACTTTAGAACGAATAACAGTATAAATTCCACCAACTAAAATTAATTTCATAACAATAGAAAGAAAATAAAACAGAACAATTTTCTATACCTTTATTAGCTACTTCCCATGAAACTTCTAAAAGCCATTTATTCATTTGTTCCGCTGTTTCACCATTGTCCAGGCAATTTTCAAAATGAATACCTTGAAATGTTTTTAAAGATTTTGCAGCATGTTTTATTTTTGATATCGACATGATTCGTTTTTTTTTCTTTTTTTAATTGGTTATTAACTCGTACATACAATTATGCATTCGATACGTGCAGGTAAAAATAATCGTTTATCTACGCTGATTAAACTTAATCGAACGTAAAAGAATGAAAGAAAAGATAAAAATAATCAGATATCTAAAAAATAACAAGTACAATTAACAAAATAAACAAAATTTATTTTTTTTTAATTATCTCTAGACTATATTTTATCATGGCATTGTCCATTTATTTACAAAACTCTATGTTTGTGACGTAGAAGTCAACGAGTATAGAGTTCAAATGAGTACACTATTGAAATACAAAGAATTATTTAAAAACAATACGTAGAGTGCGAAAAAATAATGAGAGTATAATTAAATGTTATGGATGAAAATAATTACTGCAACGTCCGAGTTCCAGGTCATAGAGCTTTTCGGACAAATATCGTAAATTCGAGGTAGATGGCAGTGCATATCGAACTTACTTATTGGGTTTAGGTATACTGCTACTGTATTAGGATTAAAAGGATATATTTATTATGCAAATAAACTGTTTCATTTCTTTATGCATCATAAAACCTATTCAATATACATATACCTTGATCGAAATACAGTCAAGGTATGAAGTAGAATATACACTAAATAAATATTATTCAAAGATAAGAATTGTAAAGTTTAATACTACACGATATCGGATTAAAAAAAAAGAGAGGAGATGTTTATAACATTGATTTCTTTTTATTTAAATAAAAACAAACAACATGAACAATTCGTCGAATTCATTTCCGATTTGATAGTATATATGTATACGAACAGTAATTATGTTAATTCGTATTGTTTTCTATGCATATATCTTACAATACGTTGAATAAAATCGAAAAAATCAGGTCGATATTTTGGTGATAGTAAAACGAAGATAAATAGATTAGACATAAATGGAACCATTGAGAGAAAATAAGCAGTAATATAAGCTGTATTTTGCCATTGCTGTTTGATACAAGTTAAATAGAATGTAAAAATAAATCGAGGTGTATTTAAAAGAACAAGAATATAACAACTGATAACAGTATGTTTATAAGTATGTATAACATTTCTAAAATTTACACATGTTGAAGTAGTTCTATGTAATCTTGTTTTTTGTTTTGTTAAAGTTATAATCCAAAAAATTGGTAAAATTAAATTAAGAAAATAAGGTATAGTAAAATGAACTATATTTCTTGCACTTTCAAAAATACCCGTTGAATAATCATTAAATTTTAATATACACCAAGATCGTTCAGATGAATCATTTAATTGACGAATAAATGGGTCATAGAGAATATTAATAAAATGATATACAAATAACATTGGTATAACTAATTTAGCTACTCGTCGACTACCAATTTTATTAAATGAAATACCTTCATAAATAACCATAGTTCGTTCGCATGCTATACAAGCGGTTAATGAATCATATAAAGCATGAAGAGCTTTACGAAGATATTCCATACTAAAACAACCAATTGTTTTATTATGAGTTTTTTCAAGAAGTATATGACTAATAACAACCATTAAACCAAATTGACCAACAATTGATATCCATAAACGATAGATTCCACTTCCCATTTCACGTGTACTTCGTTGACAAAATGTGCCCATAGAAAATAAATTACATAAACTACCGAGAAAAAGAATACTGAGAAGAAGAATATTGGGAATAGATTCAAATGAACATAAGAATGTTTGTAAAGATGTAATACTATAATATGCTGTTGTAAACTGACACAGGGGTCCATAGGAACATGATGAACATTCATGTGCGATTGTAGAATTTTGAAAACAAAAACTTTCATTGGTATACATTGCAAAATTTTTAAGTGTTCTATGTCTTTAGTAAGAATGTTCTCAAGAGAGAAAAGAAGAATGTTTTCTCATAAAAATAGAACAAGGAGAAAAACATCTACATTTTGACGTCATCATAGAAAAGCGTAGGAAGAAATAGCATAAGAAAATTTAGTGATTCATATTGAAGTGTTCTGTATATTCTAAGTTCATGTTCAAATTTGATAACCTGTTCGTTCTTGATTAATAATAAATATGGTCTTTTGAAAATAGCTATGATAATAAATATTTGTTATGTAAATATAGAGTAAAAGAAAATGAGATATTCATTCAATACTCCACAAATGGCGTTCTGAAGAGTAATGAGTTCGTGACCAAGGAATGGGTTACGATGTTTGAAATAAATGCGAAGAAAAGTTCTATATTTATAATTTTAATGAGAGAGTAAATATGCGGCTACGCGTTTTCTAAGGGTCAGATTATCGTAAAGAAAATACTTTCATTTACAGACATTGAAATTTTCCTGAAAGTATGAATTAATCTTCACATCCCTGCTAGAGACGAATATATTTAACTTGATATGGTACTATATTAATGTAATAAGATTTTTAGATTTACAAAATCTTTTGAAACAACAATTGTAGTATAACTGAAACGATATTATACATAAATAAAATACGAATATAAATCATATTTGACAATAATTGCTCTTTGTAGAAAATTAAAAAATTCTATTTATGAATTCAAATACTAGTTGATAATATCCTGTCTAGACAATAAATTTTGTCAATATTACTTTACTATTGTATTCAAATATTTTAATTATATAACCTTTTATTATTATTTCTTATAAATATAGAAAGAATCTTCTCTGTGTCATACGTTTAATAACTTGCACGCAAAAGACAAACACCTATGTCTATTTATACTCTGAATATCATCATAATGACTCGTATTGCGCATATTAAAAATACGTTAAAGTATATAACTTGTTCAAATACAGCTTTATAAATAGTTTTTTTTTATAATCAAAAAGTTATCATTATGAAACTGTTTCTATTCGTAATATCATTTTTTTATTATTTAATCTATATTCAAGCTAAATATAATGGTTTTAATATATTTCCATTTAATTCTACAGCTCTTTCAATGCCAGATACATTAAATTAGTTGATTTTTTTCTTCGACAAGATAATAGTCTTTCAAATGAAGTATATTTTGAAGAAAGAACTCCATCTAAACATGTTTGTTCTATTTTTGTACAAGAAGCACATGAATATAATCTACGTGTTCTTATTAAACCACTTGTAGGCTGTGATGATACATGCTTATTTATTGATATTTTCTAATTTATCGATTATGGCAAAAGAACTTAACATTGCTGCATTATCTGTTGGATTAGAATTAATGAAAATTTCTAATAATTATTACACATTTTATTAGAAAACTCTAATTCGAAATATTCGTGCAGGAGATTATTCTGGTTTATTAACTTATTGCTCAATATTTTATCCTATTGAAACACAAAAGATTGGTTTCTGGGATGACTTAGATTTTATTGGTATGGATTTTTATCTACCATTACTTAATATAACAAATGATGGTAATATATCTTCACAACAAGATATGGTTCAAAGATTTTCTGATTATTTTCAATATTTCAAAATATGGCTGAGTAATCAATCATCAAATGCTTCATCAAAACCAGTCGTTTCTACTGAAGTTGAATATCCAAGTTCATTAGCTGGACTAGCAATTCCATCTGCAACTCCACCTATACAATGTTTTGGTAATTATAGTGCTAATTTCACACTACAAGATATGGGATTTAAAGCACTTGAAAACAATAGTGAAGTATTTAATGAAACTATTATACTTTGGTGAGATAATCCAACTTCTTCAGATTTTTATAATAATAAGGATGTGAATAATTGGAATTGTTCATGAGCAATTCATGGTAAACCAGCTGAATATACAATAGCTAAACAATTTTGGTGGAACATATTAGACTTGTAATATAGACACTTAATTTTCTTTTTCTGGCATCTCTTATCAAAAGAGTGCAGTCGAAAAGATTTAAATACATATCATTTTCTTATAAGAAATCATTTCTTTATTATTAAATACAAATCTTACTATTTGATCTGATAATTATTATTTTATTAGTACAATGTACGCAGAAAAAAAAATGAGTCATTATGTAACATATATATTACGACGATAATATTGTATTTTATTTTCCTTCACTTTTGGGCGTTATTATGATGATGAAGCAAAATACTAGTAGATAAAGTAAACTATGATTTGCGTTGTATTTATTTACTAATTTTACGCTATATTCATCATAAAGAAGAATCACTTCAATTAATTCTCAATCATTTATTGTTTACTATGTCTACAACTACGCGTTGAGAGATTAATAGAACATTTTTCTAAGTCAAAAGTATTATTATACTATCAAATCTTTATTTCAATGTAAAGTGTCTTGCACACGTGTTCGTTTCTGTCTATGACTGTGTATGTTTTTATTTTATCTTTTTATGTAACCAAATACATATTTTCTGACATTTTGTCATAGATGTTTTTAATGTTACATAAAGTAAATAATAGATATCATCATCCTGTTTTTTTTTGCAAATCATATTTTTATAATTGGTCAATAAAAGTGTTGTGAAGTCAGTTTAAATTCTTTATTCTTACTTTTTCAGATTGAAATTAGTTATGGGTTCGAGTGATTCACGTTCACAGTCTCGTTATAATATGACTGCACAAGACGTTATTAATGAATGTGGTGAAAATAGTAAAGTTAAACAATCACATATTCTCGTTACGGGTGCAACGTCTGGAATAGGTATTGAAACCGGTCGAGTATTAGCACTTGCTGGAGCAAAAGTTTATCTAATGGGTAGAAGTGAAATAAAACTTCAACAAGTTATTGAAAATATAAATAAAGAATTACAACAAAAAGCAACAAGTAGTTCTGTACAAGGTGTTTTTTGTGATTTAAATAGTTTAACAAGTATTAAAAAATGTGCTGAAAAGTTCATCAGCGAAAATACACCATTGAATATATTAATACTCAATGCTGGAATCTTTAATTATAATTTTACTCAAACTATTGATGGTCTCGAACAAGTTATGGGAGTTAACCATATTGGTCATGCTTATTTAACACAATTATTAATGCCTACTTTAATCGCTAATACACCATCAAGAATTGTTATATTATCATCAGAATTACATGCAGGTCCACCTTTAAATTATCAAGCATTAGATCATATGAGTAGTACACAAACAAATGCAAAAAAAGATTTTGGAATGATAAGAAGTTATCAACAAAGTAAATTAGCTAATACGCTATTTGCTCGTGCACTTACATCACGTTATAAAGATAAACAAATCACAGCTTATTCACTTCACCCAGGAGTTATTGCTACAAATATAACTTCAAAAGTACCATGTGCAAGTTTTTTCACAAAATTTATAAAGAAGAAATCTCTTGAACAAGGAGCAGCTACTACAGTATTTTGTGCATTGAAACCAGGACTAGAAAATGAAAGTGGACGATTTTTTAATGATTCTACTGTTACTGATCTAGCGGATAAATGGACAGATAATGATATTAATATATTTTGGGAATGGACAGAAAAGATTATTCGACAACGAACAGCTAATTTGTCAGGCACATAAACATATTTTTACTCTCCTTTCAAAGAATGCTTTTTTTTTATTATATTTGTCTATGTTTTAAATTCTATTTTACTAAACAAAATGAAAATATTAAAAAAAAAATGTCCCTCTATTGTTAAGAATTCAATGCCATCTGTTTTTATGGAAAACTCTGTTCATGTTCCATTGGTTTTTCTTAAAGTCCACAGGGAAATCGGTTTTAGTGAGAGAAAAAAAGTAATAAATTACATTCATCAGGGATCCAATCGAGAAGTAAAATTGTTTTTGTGTGTCCAATATAAAAAAGAAATGGCAATTGTTTTACCACCATATTTAAAATATATTTCATTCTTGATGATTTTATTTGCTATTCTTTGCAAATATGAAATTCCTCTTGATCCATCAACATCCGATAGAAAAACCTTGTTGTTTACTAAAACAGCTACGGTTCAATGTGATCGAGCACATGTATATAAAGTTATAACAAATATTGATAAATATACATCGGTTTGTTTTTTTCTTTTTTACTATTTATAATAGAATATCTTCTTTGTTTTCGTCTAGTGGTATCCAAATGTTGCTCGTGTTGAGCATGTTCAATTGGTTCCATCACGTGTGCATAATCATGAAGGTGAAAAATATCGATTGATTACGAAATTTCCTATAATTGGTTCGAATTTTATGTCTTATACTTATAATATAGATCATAGTTAATTTATATTTAGGTGATGTACCACTTGATTTAGTAATTCATACAGATGATCAACCGAAACAATTTATATATTCTGTTGATTCATGGTTACTTGAAACAAATCTAATTGAATTAAAAGATATTTCAACAAATGTAAATTCAACACGTATTGAATGGACTGTTTACACAAGACGACGTAGTATTCTTTTCCAAGTAATTTATAAAAGATTTCCTATTTATTAAATATTTACTTTATTTTATTTAAGTATATGATCTTACCATTTGCTAATTTTTATAAAAATCAGCTTGTTCGTGAAGCATTATTTTCACTTGTAATGCAAGTTCGTGATCTTTAATCATAATCAATAATCTCGACATTCCGGCTTGCTTCTTCTTTTTTTCAAATTATTTATTTCTCTGCTTTTATTCTTTGTATATCAAATAAAACTCATAATTATTTTCCACAAAAAAAAATTTGAATTATTGCAATTGACTACTAGCGACATCATTGGAGATGTCTCTGAACATATGATAAAACGATTCAAATACTATTGGTTTGCTTAGTTCTTACTAAAATCTAAATCAATCGATGTCATTTACTTAGAAAACGATGAATAATTGTTGCATCATGTGTTTAAAAAATTTATTTTAGATATGTCGGAAATCAATACATTAGCATTTACTAAAATGTTTCTTCATCTAGCTAAATATCCTGAATTAGCTGTAAATGGTATTTTATTAGGTGTTCGAAGTAATTCAGCAAATGATGAAGCTGATTCATCATATCTTAATTTTGTTGATTGTATTCCATTATTTCATGGTGTTCTTTCATTATCACCTATGCTTGAAATAGCATTATCACAAGTAATTACAAATAAAAATAAATGAATATAAAATAATTTGTTGTTTTTTTCTTTTCTAGATTGATGCTTATTGTTCAACACGAAATTTAACTATTGCTGGTTATTATCATGCGAATGAAAATTATTCCGATCCGAAGTAATAATTTAAATTTATATATATGTCATTGTATTTTTTTTTTAAATTAGTCCAAATTTTACGGCTTTAAGAATAATGGAAAAAATAAAAGAAAATAATCCTAACGCTGTTTTATTAATGGTAAGTTATATGTTAAATATTTTGTTAAGACTTATTTTTTGTATTTAGATCGACAATACTCTTGTTGATTTAAATGAAAATGATCGATTTTATAATGTATTCACATTGACCGATAAAACTTGGAAAAATGTTAACGAAACGTAAGTTTTTCTTTTTGGATGTATTAAACAAATGAATTATTCTTTTTAGACATATTGTCAATGATGAAAGTCGTTTATCTGCCTTAAGTCTTGTTAAACGTAATCAACATCGTCAAATAATTGATTTTGATAATCATTTAGATTCGATTTCTAATGATTGGCGTAATCCAAATATACGCAATGAACTCAATGCAACATCTTTCTAGCAATAGTCTATTCTCTTTTAAATGTTGTTTTTTTTCTTGTTTCTGTATCGTTCTATTTCACGTTTACTTTTTCTTATTACTATCTCAAACAGATATTCTTATCAAAAGAAAAAACACATACATAAAAACAAAGGAGATTAATAGAATTATATGTTTTCTTTTTCTGTTTTTGATGAGCATCTTTCTTCGATCGATTCTTAAACATCATTATTTATTATCATCATCAAAACGATTTCTTGCATCAACAACATCAACAGCATCAGAATTAAAATTAAGTGATACTTGTGTTCAACGTCTTCAAGCAATTATAAAAGATCAATCACAAAAACTTCGTGTTTTTGTTGAAGGTGGTGGTTGTTCTGGTTTTCAATATAAATTTACAATTGAAGCAAATAATTTAAATAAAGAAGAAGATTTAATATTCGAACGTGAAGGTGTACAAGTTATTGTTGATAAAGATTCATTAGAATTATTAAAAGGATCAACAATTGATTATCAAGAAGAATTAATAAAATCAAGTTTTCGTATTATTGGTAATCCAAACGCTGAACAAGGTTGTTCTTGTGGAACATCTTTTTCAATAAAATAATGGCAGCTTCATCAATGGTTTCCGGTTCGATAAGAGCAGTTAATAAAGGTAGACGTTTAACAAATTTTCCTTCACGTGCTGCTATAACTTTAACTGACTCTGCTGTTCGTCGTATTAAAGAACTTTTAAATGCTAAACCTGATTCTCTAGCACTTCGTATTGGTGTTCGACAACGTGGTTGTAATGGTTTATCTTATACACTTGATTATGCTAAAGAGAAGAAGAAAATGGATGAAGAAGTTAATCAAGATGGTATTAAATTATTAATTGATCCGAAAGCACAATTAACATTATTGGGAACAGAAATGGATTTTGTGAGAGATAAATTATCAAGTGAATTTATATTTAATAATCCAAATATAAAAGGAACTTGTGGTTGTGGTGAATCATTTAATGTTTAACATGAACGAACTGCGAAACATGTAAAAAATCTTCATCAGTTTTTTTTTTATAAAATCAAATTTAGTTTGTTTTTGCGTTTGATCCGCGTTGTTTTGTCCCTTTTTCATCTGTATTATTCAACCGAGCAACTGTAATTTTCAGTTATGGTATATTTTTTCCTTTAAATTTTTTAGATGGGTCGACGAGGTCATAAAAAACAAAAAGCGTTTAAACGTGCTGTGAGTTTTATTTTATTTATTATCATCATATTGAATATAGAGAAAATTTAAATAGACAGTCGATGCTGTTCGAAAAGCTCGTATCGAAAAGCAACAAGGACAAAATGGACAATCAACAGCTAATGGAGACGAAGCAACAGCAGATGATCGACCACGTGTTAGTACATATGACGATATTGTTAAAGAGAATGCATTATTCGAAAAATATTATAAGGTATAAATTAGAAATATTTCGATTTTATATTTTGTTTATATTTTATGTATAGGAAATGCATCTTGTACCTGATAATGAATGGGATGCATTTTTAGCAGCATTAAAAGAACCATTACCAGTTACTTTTCGTGTAACAGGTTTTCGTTCACATGCATTTGCAGTTATGCATCTTATTCGAGAACGATATTTTCAACCATTAGAATCATCTACAGCAATTGAAAAACCAAAAGAACTTGTCTGGTTTGTATTATATTGACAAATATATGTATTTCATTTTTCTAATAGAATTATTTTACTAGGTATCCTGGTAGTTTAGCATGGCAATTAAATCTTAGTCGAAATCAATTACGTAATTTTCCAGAATTACAAAGACTTAAAGAATTTCTTTATGAACAAACTGAACATGTAAATAATGCATTTTTTTAAAGATTAATATCTATTTATTTGTTTTCATTTTAGGGAAATATTAGTCGTCAAGGTAATGAATCATGAATATAGGAATAGAAATACAATATATTTATATCATTTATAGAAGCTGTATCAATGATTCCACCTTTGGTTTTGGATATTCAACCACATCATAAAGTATAGAATGAAGATTTAAAATGAATGACTGATTTGTATCATTTTCAAACTTAGATTTTAGATATGTGTGCTGCTCCTGGTTCTAAAACAGCTCAAATAATTGAATGTCTTCATCGTGATGAAACAAATCCAATTCCAAGTACATATCTATATTCTTAAATATTAATCCTCATTAGTTTTTATTTATTTTAAGGTGGTTTTGTTATTGCAAATGATGTTGATAATAAACGATGTTATACACTTGTTCATCAAGTTAAACGATTAGAAAGTCCTTGTTTTGCTATTATTAACCATGATGCATCGAATTTACCTAATTTAAAATTTAATGTAAGACATTCTATTTGTATTGTTCGATATAATTTTATATGTACATATATACTAGGATGAAAATATATCATTTGATCGTATTCTCTGTGATGTTCCTTGTTCAGGTGATGGAACACTTCGAAAAAATCCTGATCTATGGAAAAAATGGAATCCCGGTCATGCATTTAGTTTACAATCCATACAATTACGTATTGCAACACGTGGTATTCAACTTCTTGCACCTGGTGGTCTTATGGTTTATTCAACTTGTTCAATGAATCCTGTTGAAAATGAATCTATTGTTGCTCAATTATTACAAACATTCGAAGGTCATATTTCACTTGTTGATATTAGTGATAAATTACCTGGTTTACAAACAATACCTGGCCTAACAAAATGGTGTATTATGGGAAAAAATAAAGAAGTCTATAATTCATATGAAGAAGTACCACCACATATGCAATCTTTAGCACGACCAAATATGTTTCCACCTTCACAAGATATTTTAGAACGATTACATCTTGAACGATGGTAAATAGCTTTAGAGTTCAGAAATAGAATGAATACATTAGCTATTCAAAAATTGCAAAATCTATCCTATTACTTCTTCTCTTTATCTTTTAGTATACGTCTATTACCTCATCATCAAAATACTGGTGCTTTTTTTGTTGCTCTTTTTCGTAAACTTGACAAAACTGTTGAAGTATCATCAACTCAGGAAGAAACATCTCAAAAACGACCGGCAGAAGAAATTACATTCAATGAAGACGGGTATATTATTTTAAAATATTAATTTCATAAATATAATTTATTTATTTTAGAGCTAATTTTAAACGTGCTCGTTATCATCGTGAAAATCCATTTATTTTCTTCAACGAAAACGATATAACAGGTTTTTGGCAAGAGATTAGGTAATTCTAATTTTAAATTACTTATTTAATTAAATCTTTTTTTCTCAGTGAATTTTTTGGTGTTGATCCATCATTTCCAGCTGATCAAATGATGACAAGACATGCAGCTGATAGTGGCCGAAATATTTATTTCGTATCCGATAGTCTTAAACAAATTGTTACTTTAAATCAAGATCGTATTAAAGTGATTATTTTATTTGCTTATTCATTGATTGATTAATATCGATCGTGTTTTTCTTTTCTAGTTTATTAATATGGGTGTTCGTTTATTAGTTCGAACTGATTTACGTAATGATAAAGATAAACGTTCATTAAGACTTTCACAAGAAGTAGATAGATTTAATTCAATTAAAAATTTATTTCTATGTTCTTCATAGGGCATTGCAATTGTGAATAAATATTTTACTAAGCGTCGTATTGAAATAGAAGAACAAGATTTAATAATTTTATTGTCACATGCGTTTACACATTATGCTAATGTATCACAATCAGTACAAAAACAATTGGAAAATATGTCGCAAGGTTTGTTATCGAAAATATTTTTTCAAATAGTTTATTTAATCGTGATTTTTTTCATCGAATAGATTTAGGTAGTACAATATGTACATTTACCATAAAACAACATAATCTTGAAGTACCGATAATATTTGTTGCATGGCGTGGTCGTAGTTCTTTCCGTCCATTTGTAAGTCATTCATCAAGAAAATTTTATTTGTCATTATTAAATATCGATCATTCGACAATTAGTAAGTAACAAATTATAAAATTATTGTTTTTTAAGTTGTGTTTTTTACATTTTATAGATGACATCATTGAAAAATTAACAATTGAAGAAAAAGCTAGTAATGAACCGAGGATTGAAGGAAAAACTAATAATGATCCGAAGATTGAAGATTCTTGATGTTTTTGTTGTTTTTTCTACTAAAAACAAATAAATAAAAAGATGTTTTTGTTATTTAAAAAAGAATCTATGCCCATGAAGGGCATTGAAATTCATTTTTTAAATCTTTTTTTCAAAAGAATCGATTTAGTCTGATAATTTAAATATCATAAGATCGCTATCAAAGTCTGCTAAAAATGTATAGAATGAACTAAAAGCAAGTTTGTTCTATTCAGCTTTTGTTACAGAGCCACAATTGTTTTCTTATAGTTTCAATTTATTACGAAGATTGTAATGAGCAATTTCCACAGAAAAGTTAATTTAAGACTATATTTCATATATTTAGTCGAAAGATAAATACCACAGTCGAGATAACAAATTTAGTAAAATAACATTCTTTTATTTCTAATTATCTCGAAATGTGAAAAAACCAAATCTTTTTTATCAAAATGCTTGTAATGAAAAGCTCGATATACCTTAAAAATTTCATCAAAATCGAAAACCACTCTTGTACGTGTGATTGAGTTTCCATGAAAATACCTATTTCGTATTTTTTTTCTTGATGTTCTGATGCAATATGTAAATCTTTTTCGCTTAGTATATGGGGAATTTGACAACACGCATTTTGCCTATAACAGATTTTTCGTTCGATTAAGTTATAGTTTCGAGATTTCAAGCACGACTTCTGGAGGACACTGTGGGATACGTGAAAATAACTGTTTCTCTATATATTTGTACAATAGTTGTCAAAGTTTTATCGTGGATACAACTTTTGAGTCTCAATCAGATTAAAATTTTAAATAGGAAATTTTTTTCAAGATTGGTAATTGGTGAAGGGTTCCAAAGGTCTGTAATTTGTGAAGGCTGTAATTGTGTCGAAAAAGATCAAGCCTTTATGAAAGTTTTATGATAGACGCAGTTTTATTTGCTCTACAAAATGGTCGAAACAAATTACCATATGAGAGGGAGATACGCCCCACTTAACTAGAGTATTGAACATTTTCTGTTTTTCTACTAGCTAATCCAGCTAGTATCCTCGGAAAAGAATCAGCATAAAAAGAAATTAAACATTATGGATATCGTAAACGATCGTTCACGGTCAACATAGCATAAATATAATTGGTTTTGTTTTTTCGTCTATGCATTCTTTCTTTATCGGTGCATTTTCTTTTCAAAAGAAAATAACTAAAACATTGAAACAATACTGCTTATTAATGAATGAATTGTAATAAATGAAAATAAAATAATTATTTACAAAAAATTAAAAAAAACTAAGGCGCTTATTATTGTTCAATTTAATCAATCAAAGTGATCTAAAATATAAAAAATAATATGCAAAATAAATATACTTACGATTCATTGGATTGATTATTTGACACAGCATTAAATAAATTCAAATACTTATTATGGGTTAATTTACGCTATTTTGATATTTCTAATAGAATAAAAGCTCTAGCATTTCTTTTTACAATGTTCCTGTTCCTAATAGAAGGAAATGAATCTTTCTATAAATAATTGTATCTGAAAAAGATTCAATATATAAAACAAAATATTCTCAATATTTCAGACAAATTTATCCAACAACAGATCAAATTATATTAAAACTTGTCTGCGGTCAAGGTAAGGATCTTTTTTTTCTCCAATTCACACGTCTGACTCTGTATCATGAGAACAAATCCTATACCATCTTATAAAATATGTGTATTTGATTTTACGATCAAATGCCAATATAGATTTTAAACAAAAATAAATAACAAGGAAAGTCATTTAATTTTTCTTGTTTATTACCGAGAACACAACGTTCATGCCTTTCATGCAGCATTTTATATCGTTAAAACAATCTTAACAAAAACGTTGGTCACAGTTGTTATCTCAATTTTATCATTTTTTAGTTGATATCATTCTTTTTCGTTTTTTTTTCTTTCAACAAGTAATTACAACATCAGGTGAAATTTATAACATAAGAAAAAATCCACTGATGTAATGATAAGATAGAGAACAATATATATAATCAACATATAAAGCTACAGAGCATACCTTTCTTCAACAATCTACAATGGCTCATCAAACAGCTACCAGTTTCGTTACATTACCGGTAGAACTTGTCTACCGGATTCTTGATCATCAGCCGTATCTTACAATCCTGTGCTCCATGACGAACGTATGTCAGCGGTTCAATACGATTGTTGCCAGCTACGATCGATATCAGGTAAGCATTTTTCTATCATGATCGCTTAATTTTTATCCATTAACTCTCGAATTATTTTTCATTCCTACAATCTCTAAGCAAGCAGAATGGCTGCAATCAAACATACGTGAACAAACTATTTGTCACTCAAAATAATACATCAGCTATTCCTTTCTCCTCAAAAATTCACTTCTTATATTATGATAATTAGAAAAACCAGTTTCTTTTTTTTTGTTTTTATTCAATATCATCTAGATATTCTACGTTTCAAACAAGGTATGATGTCATAAACATACAGTGTTTAGATAAGAACGAAAAAAAAAAAAGTGAAATATTATTATTTGCGTTTTACCTGTATGTAAACACCTTTTTATAAATACTATATTCATAATGAAAATCAGCTTTTGACAGAAACTAACCTTCTATACATTAACTTGTCTTATTGTAAATAACGTCCTCGATACTTGCCTGAGAAAAACTTCCGGCATATACTTTTTTAAGAGCATGCGCGACTTTGGATATAGGTAACAGTAGATCTGAATGGAGAGAAGATCGACTCACAACATTTGAACTAGTACTACTAAGGCGAAATATTTCTTCAGGAAATACTACTTCTAAAGTAAGTTGTTTATCAAACAAAGTTGCATCAGAACAGATTTCATGTGAAGCACGGTTTATTAAGAATGGAATTTCGAGAATAGTTCGTCAATGCTCTTTGCTTATATTATGTTTTAGCATACATTCACCTTTTTCTTAAAATGAGTCTAACATTACGGAATCAATTATTGATGTTATTTTCCACTTTTTAAAAATCAATACTCCTCTGTGAACAAAACAGTACAGTTGCATCGAGAACAACTATCGAAATCAATATATATTCTTACTTATGTAAATCATACGCATCAATAAGACCAAATTCGACAACTTAAACAAAGTTCTGATGTAAAACACACATCGAGTCTGAATAATGAGCGTAAAGAAAACAGTTCACTAGCAGTCGATAAGAAACAATCTTTCGTCATACTTATAGAATACTAACAAACGCTCCATCATACTTTACTAAGCTATAGACCATTCACTGTAATATATAGTCATTTGGGCACTTAATATTATTCTTCGCAGTTGCTTTCCCCAGGACTGGCTTACAAACTACTTTTCATTAACCGAGATAATTTTCCTACTTTCGAAAAAATTCACAAACTCAAGCAACGCATAGATAAAAACTTTCTATCGTTACTGCAGCCTTAGTAACTTCTTTTTAATCTCAATTTTCACAAAATACGATTACGTACTGTGCAGCATAAACAAACCATATATAAGTTCATACGTGTATTCAAACGCTACACTTGCCCATCAAAACAACATTAATTTCATTATTTTAACCGCTTAAAATACCGACCAGCTTTTCTGTTTCTTCACTTGTACCCATCTTTACCTCCACTTTTTCCTGTAGGCACTCACCACGCTAGATCTCTCGGGGTGTCAACTCGAAGATAACGAAGCACGTTCTCTAGGTGCCGCATTACAACACAACACAGTAACTATCAATCACTTTTTATTTATGCCATGGCTTTACATGAGCTTTTACATCTAGACACTCACCATACTCAACCTTAAAGGCGATAAAATCGATGATCAAGCAGCAAAATATCTTGCCAACGCTCTACAAAACAACAAAGTAACAACAATAATTGTTCTTCTTCCATTTCACTTCAATTCATCATTCATAAACTTTTCATACAGACACTCACTACACTTAACCTACAACAGAACAACATCGGTGCTGAAGGAGCGGAAGATCTTGCCAATGCTCTAAAAATCAACCAAGTAACAACAATACTTCTTGTTCTTCCTCTCCACTTCAATTCATCATTCACACACTGCTCGTATAGACACTCATCACACTCCTACTCACATTGAATCAAATCGGTGCTAAAGGAGTAGAACATCTTGCTCTAGCTCTACAAATTAACAAAGTAAGAAAATATTGTTCTTCTTTCTTTTTACTCCAATTCATCATTCACATACTTTTTCATCTAGAC